TATGTATACACAAGTACCAACGTATATAATATCCAATTTGGATGCGGATGATAAACCAGGCTCACACTGGGTAGCTGTACATATCGATGTGAATGGCATCGGTCAATATTTTGATTCATATGGACGAACACCTGAGCGATATCATCTTCAGTTTTTGAAAAGGAATTGTAAGAGATGGGACTGGAATGTTGATAGGATTCAGAATGATTGGACTTCAGTTTGTGGTGAATATTGCTTAATGTATTTGCTATTTAAGTTTCAAGGATGTTCAATGAATAGTTTTACGAACATATTTACAGGAAACACACTGTACAATGATATTTTTGTGGATAAGATGTTCCACTCATATTTTGTAGAAAAGTAATGAAATAAAAAATTAAAAATGAACGGTTGTGTTTTATTGATGACATAGGAAATCAAACATAATGAGGGTTAATTATGTCATTAATGAATTAATGAGATAATTAATTAATAGATACAATAAATTGTTTTGGAATCGATTTGCATAACTCCAGAACCACGCATCGTACGCTAAAAAGGATTGCAGAAACGTGATCAGAGCATGCCAAAACTTTTTTTTTTTTTTTTTTTTTTTTTTTTTTTTTTTTTTTTTTTTTTTTTTTTTTTAGGATTGGTGCAACTGATTCGCGGCATTCTGGCGCCGGTCTGAGCCTGAAATTCATGAGCCAGAACCGGCGAATCATCACTACTTACAGCGGCGGCGCGCGGCGTGGAGCGAGGTACACCACTGAATTTCACTTATTCACTCTTTTCATACAGACCAAATGCTGAACAGCAATGTAAAATGAAATTGCAGTTCCTCGTGGCATCATCGTTTGTTACTTTAGTCTTCAAAAGATGTTTTATTGATTTATTGATGTGATTATTTATTTGTCTTTAGGTACTATTTTTATTTAAAAAGTTATACTAGGTCTAACGATCGAGTACGCAGTAATCATCATCAGCCCTTAGACGTCTATTGCTACGATCTCCGGCCACGCACTGTAAGCGCGGACCCGAGCGAACGGCGCTTCGCCTTCCGCGCGCGCCTCAAAGAGCCATCAGACCACCACATATGGGGCCCAACAGGGCCGATGCCGATTAGGAGTCGCGGAGAACCTAACGGGTAACCGGGGCTCCGGCTCGACGTGCAGGAGAAGGAACGGGGTGGTTTTTAGTCAGAAAGAGGCTGACACTCCCACCCGCCTCACCCAGACGGGAGCAGTGATTCGATGATTTTCGGCCCTTAGAAAAAAGACGTCTATTGCAGAATAAAGGTTTCCTTAGGATTAGCTATAGTCTCCAAATTTGGCAAGTGGCTTGAAGCTTAAGGATAACAATTAGGTCATATTTGGAAGCGTTCCTGGCTTTTCATTGGTTCCTGATTGCAATTTTAGAATATGCTTGGATATGTAGTGTACAAGGGCAATTAGAGGTAGATAGCAACAGTACCATTGAAGATTACTGATTCAAATCAATTCGCTATATTGTGGTTGTCAATTTATTGCAGAGAAATTAAAATCGATCAATCGGTGATTTTATCGAGGGGTAACGGGCTATTTGGTTTAAGCGACATTTTGGTCGATATTGAGTTATATATATATTCGGAATCAGCTAATAAACCAAATAGCCCGTTACCCCTCGATATATAAATTAGCTATATATAATTAAACTCTACAATCGGCGTTTGGATTAAATAGTAGCAGTAGCGGCTACAGAATCTTATTAATGTTGTGTTAAGAAATAAATTGTAAAATACGCATGAATATTTAATGTGTTTATAGTCAAACGAAATAGTAAGAAAAAAATGTACGTACAAGTAACACAAAGCAAAATTTTTCATAATGGCCGTCTATTTGGTGACATCGCGCCACGCTGAGAAGAAAGCTTGGCTAAGCAAAGCAAACATGTTTTATTTAAAAACCTCTCGACATCTAAAACTACCTTTTAGTCGACAATTTCGAAGACCATAGCAAAGACGGAATTCGAAATAAAAGAACGAAAAAATAAAATATGACTTTCAGCGAACTGCACTTTTTAAAATTCCCTCTGCGTTAAGTATTGAATTTTTTATCAGCTGCTCAAATAGGGAGGCGAGCAGGAGAGTACCGGCAATGTAGCTGCGTTTGTTTTACGAACTTTTAGGGATCCTTGCTTTCATACCGGCCGAATTTTTAACTACTACAATAAGGCAAAATAGCATGGTTGAGTTTTCAACAAAACGAATCAACTCCTGGTACACGAAAGTGCGGTAGAGTTTTGATTACTGTTTTGATTTCAAAAAGCTATGAATGTACAATTTGAATTTTTTGCAAAGAGTTTGTTGTTATGAATAATGTTTTCTAAGTTATTTTGGAAATATTCCAGTCTTAATGTAACTTACTAACATAACATAACATCACGCCTTTTATCCCCGAAGGGGTAGGCAGAGGTGCACATTACGGCACTTAATGCCACTGTACAATGTAACACCCACTTTTCACTATTTATGTTATGAGTCCCATGTAATAGGGGATGAGTCTATTGCCATATATCGAGCACATTTCCAGATTCCGTGCTACTGCTGAGAATTTTTTAAAAACCCAGTAATACTTTGCCCGACCCGGGAATCGAACCCGAGACCCCTTGCCCAGCATTCGCACTTGCGACCATTAGACCAACGAGGACGTCAGATAACTTACTAAATATTACAAATACGAAGATTTATATATTTTTTTTAATTTGTTCAACAACATCAAAGCTACTGAAAGGATCGGGATGAATTTTGAAACAGAGGCAGATTATGGCCTAGCTTTAACATTGTATACTAATTTACCTGGTACAACATACTGGCCTGGTATAACAATATAGGCTACTTTTCACCCCACAAGAACGAGGGTGAAGCTAGAAATTTATAACGGACTAGCAGCCCGTCCCGGCTTCGCACGAGATTTTTGGAAATTTGGATTGTTGTAGCATAGTATAAAGAACACAGTAGGTTATCTAAGGCCGCCCGCCGAGTTATTAGCCTACTCTTGCGTTGATCCCCAGGGTTGTCACTTTTACTTTTAGTTAATATTTTCGAACAAGCAGCACTTGATCTAAATTTATGAAATGAAAAGCATATTATGATTGAATATTTTATCAATTTATAAATTTAGTAAAAATTAAAAGTTTATAAAAAGATTATTAACTTCTTAAAATAAACTTTAGCTCTATACATAGTATTCAGAAAGTAAATTTGGGAATACATTTATATGGAAAAATGCGACTCGGCTACGCTCTTAACAAATCAGATAAACTGTGAAATAAACAATACAATACCACATTTTCTTATAATATTTAAGTATAGTAGGTAATTACATTTCTGGTTGAGTAGGAACTATGAAGAATGATAAGAGTAAGAATAAGTAAGTAGGTATCTCATCATCAAGTACCTACAAATTATATTATGCTAGAAAAAGTGACTAGCTTACCTTTCCTGTTCAATAGGTACCTAATCTGAACAGAGACAGTTCTGGAATCGATTAATTATTAAGACACCCAAACACACAGCAATACGTTCTTCTACGATTATCAGACATTTTTTATTTCATTGAACAGTGCCAAAAAGCCGTGAAGCGCGCGCGAACCTCGTACAGTGTCAGCCCTGCCTGCCGCACTGAGAAACGGGTCGAGATTTTGTTAAAGTGTGCGTGCGTCGACGCATAGATACTATGGCGCACACATATAAGCCGCGCGCGGAGCATTTGTATGAAGATAACCTACTTTGTTCTTTATACTATGGTTGTAGTGACATAACTACAATAGTTGGACATATGCTAACGCGGAGTTTTTATACACATTATGATGTTCTTCAATATTGTTGTACATTATTTTGTTCTATCGCTAATAGTTTCGGCAGCGCATTCGACGAAAGATATTTTAAGACTCATTTTTCTACACCTTCGGTTACATTGTTCAAATTTTACCAAGGATTCCTAATTTTTTTCAAAATGAAATGTAGCCTATGTCAAATTGGAAGAATGTAGCATTCTATTGGTGAAAGAATTTTTTAAATCGGCCCAGTACTTTTTGAACCTATTCATTAAAAACATACAAAAATAGGTACAAATCTTTCCTCTTTATAATATTAGTATAGAAAGATCTTGACTGGGAAAAATCAAGTCGAAGAAGGTATGTAAAGTAAATTATAAAACGCTTATTAAACCTTAAGTACTATGTTTTAATAAGCGTTAAATTACTTTGATAAACCACTGTCTACCAACGTAATTTAACAGTAGCTTAGATGAACAACGTATAATTTATTACAACAGGACGAATACTAATTGATTTTTCTATATAATGTAAATCAGTATTAATAAGTAACTGTTTAATGTTTATCTTAATTAGGTATTTTACCTTAACTGTATGGTTGGCGCATTGGATGAGGTTATGGTTGTTATGATATATGTCGAGGGTACGATTACCAATTCTTTGTTATACATCAATTGTTCTCTCAGATCTAAATCTCTTGTATGTACCAAAATTTTGTTAGTTAATTCACCCACGACACAGACGATAAAGATCTGCAAACTGCCTGAAAAAAAAACTAAATAATATTAAGGAAGTTCACAGAGAAAGCCATTTTTGCCACTAATGACATGATTCAACCGGAAAAAGCCATGGCCTTGAAGAAAATTGTCGCAAAACAATGCTTGCGTTGAGTTTCGCCGTGTGAGTGAGGGTACTCCACTGGTGTTAATGTTGTCCATGGATCAGGTACCAATGGACGACATTAATTGCTAACAAGGCAGTCCGGCTGCTCCATGTACACCAACAAATAGTAAATAGAAGAACACCCTTTTATCCCTCGTATAGTCAGATAAAAATAACGGGTTTACTAAATAATTCTAATCCAATGTCAGTCTACTCGTCAATGTACACAACGGTAATGATGAATTTTACGCAATGTTTCAATTACTTTTACTCATTCCTCTTTAATAACTTTCATTTAAAATCTTCATGGTGTATTATCGCCAGTATTCTCTCTCGGCGACCATGCACCGACCGCTGTGGTTAATATTATTGGTAAGAAAATCAATTAATTAAGAGATTACTATTCATTAATACTTTATTGTTATTAGTCATGGGATCGCCAACTACCGAAGGACGGGCAACAGCAAAACAACATCTTTTGAGCGTCCCGTCACCTAACTATGTGTGATCCACAGTCTTATGAGAAAAGCCTATCTTATGCTGTAGACGTCTCCTAATTGAATCATGATGATAATGAAGATACAAAATGCATATTATCGAGGTTATCTAGTCGTCTTAGAAGTATATAAAAAGCATTATCCAGTAGCTGAGTGTGAGATTAGTTCCCCCCTCTGTGGCACCGTAAGGGCTGATTGTGGGACTATAAACTCCTAGAACTTATAAATGACTAAAAGAATATCGTAAAACTAGACCATCAATTTATTTCTGATCTCCTATCTATGTTTCAGGCCACAGTTTGTGAAGCTTTCTACGATGAATACAATTTATATAACTGGGATAACGGTAAATAATTGAGTTTAAACTTAAAAGCGAATGGCAGGCTCGTATGGTAGTTTCGAACAGTAAAAAAATATTGTTTTGGAATAGTCTTGTGCTTAATAGTTCGCGACTAAGATCACTCAGATCCGTTCGCCGCTCCTAAACGAACTAGTTCGCTCTTTTAGTTCGTCAGTTCCCAACTCCCAATTGGAGTTGGAATTGGAATGAATCGCATAGGAACTGGGAAGGTACTGGCAGCCAAATCGCTCCCTAGTTCGTCAACTCCCGACTCCCAGTTGCATTTGGAGTTGGAATGAATCGCATAGGAACTAGGAAGGCACTGGCAGCCAAATCGCTCCCTAGTTTTGATTCAAGTTCCTGCACGAAATGAAATATTTATAATATATAATAACAAACTACAGAAATAAGACAAATTATAACGTTTTTAATAGTCCACTTTTATTATTTTTTGTTTTATTTAAATCTAACTAAGTATAAACTTATATAATAAATAATTAATTAATCACTTAATCAATTATTATTCAACTAATATAAACTTCTACTATAAAAATAATTAATATAAATTAATAAATCAAGTGAGATCATATTTATGTTATTTTTAGCTCGGTCTTCACCATAGACTATACATATAAACGACTTCACAATCCTTGTACTTGTACTTTGAAATACGAACTAAGGAACTAGGAGTTGGGAATGACGTGAACTAGTTCGCATATTTTGAATGTGGGAGCGCTCTTTTGAACTAGTTCGTTCGCGAACTACACAAGCCTATTTTGGAATGCTTTTTGTTTTAATTGGTAGTCAACATGATAGGCAAGCATTATTAAAATTCTTGGATTTTAAAAAGTTGGGATTTAAGAGTTATAACCAGTTTTATTTTTGAGGTTATGTCGCCATCTTGAGTAGTCAATAAACGTTCCGTTTCATACACTATAGTCAGAATTTTAATTAGATTCCAGATTTGACAATAGATACTGTCATTTTGTGAAATAATGATACCACATATAATAGTGTAGTGATGCACACAAAAATCGATAAACAATCAGTGTGTGTGTTTTATAAAAAATGTTACAGAAAGTGACAGGACAGGATAGCGATAGCGATGACGGCGACAATTTATAAAATAACTTATTAACACAATCTATCTGTTTTATTTGTCATGTTCCTTCATGATTACATTTTTTTTATTTATTTCACACACAATTATAAAAAGAAAAGTCTCAGATCGTTAATTAATCGTCATAACTAAATTATAGGTTCAGAAATATTTAATTTCCTGATATACTTAGTTTACGAGAGTAAAATTATAATTATTATAAACGAGAAAAATCGATCCAGAAATATTGCATTTCCATATCGAATAATTTCACAACGTCACTATTTAGTACTTGTCATAACGTTGCAACACTGAAATTGTCAAATCTGGAAATTAAAATTCCGAGTATAGGTCTCCAATACGCCTCACCAATCAACACGTAATCGCGTCAAAAACGTATAAATTAACAAGAAGTTGCGTAACAGCTAGGAATATTATATATTCGATGTGTGTATGTTTCTTTGTTACTCTTTTACGTCATAACGGCTATAGGGATCGAAATGGAAATGGAATATGAAACATAGGTATTGTCTAGAATAACATATACGCTACTTTTTGTCCCACGGTATCACAGGCAAACCCATTGGCAGAAGCTAATACAACCATTGATTTTTATTTCACTGTAACCACTTTTTTTTCAGATAGGGTCGATGGTCATAGGCCGAACGATTTGCATGTTCATTTTATGCATGGAAACTTTACAGACACACTGAGAAGATTTGCTGGCACATATTATGATGATTCTCGGCGAGGTAACATTTTATATTACGTGTTATTCAGTATATTGCATCGTTGATCAGGTCATCACAAACACGGCTGTAATTGCAGCTATGTTACAGAAGAAAATTCATGTGTGGGACAATTATTTTTATTATTTTTTGGTCAAAGCTTATAATTATTTTAATACTTACATGGGTCGTTTATTAATTAAGATTTTTTATTGTTTTTACAGCTAAAGACAATAAGCTAACTTACGACAAACTTAAATCAAGTAATTACTTTTTTTAATATTAATAACTGTGTAATATAAATAACTGTGTGTTTTTAATATTAATAAGTGATTAGATTTGTTAAATGAGGTGCAAAGAGTTAAAGATCAGACCTACGAGTATGTCTTATACTTGACGAGCTGGTAATGAAAAACTGGGACGAAGAAACTATCCTAAAGCACCAAAATGATAACAGAAAAACGAAAAGGCATAACATAACTTCACGCCTTTTATCCCCGAAGAGGTAGAAAGTGGTGCACATTACGACACTTAATGCCATAATGTGACACTCACTTTTCACTATTTATGTTATTAATCCCATGTAATTAGAGGTTAGCCTATTGCCATATACGGGGCACAATTTCAGACTCCGTGTTACTATTGAGATTAAAAAAAAAAACAGTTTAACTTGCCCAACCCGGGAATCGAACCCGAGACCCCTTGCCAAGCAGTCGCACTTGCGACCACTCGGCCAATGAGGCAGTCAAACGAAACGAGATAAAGATATAAATAACGGTCGTATACATATATTTATGTATGTATTTACATCACAACAAATTGTTACGTTATGTTTTCATTTTTTTTCAATCTATTGACATATTTTTTTCATTTAGAGTGTAATGTTACTATTTTAAACATATTTAGTTTTTTATATTTGTCTTATTTTTTGACACTTCTAATAAATTATAATTTAAATGAAAAAATAAATAAATATGTACAACCTTAAGATACACTATAAATAACTAAAAGATAAAAATTAAATAAAAGAAGACTAAAAATAACTATTTACACAAAGCATCAAAACATCCTTCTCTCCATCTCTCCTATCTATCTATCTCCATCGTAGACCGCATCATCGCTTACCACTTGGCGAGATAGTGGTCAAACGTCGCCACATCAAATTAAAAAAAAAACATTCGTCCGCATCAACGTCAGTAGGGAAAGTACCTAGAAGGCTGGCAGCATTGCCACGTTGTATGGCAATGCTTAACCTCTGACCGAGAAATACACCAGCCCTCTGGTCACGAGATGCGTCGACCAGGCGTTTTGTAATGTTTTTAAATAAAGTACCACTTAAGTATCAACTATTAAGATTATTACCATTAAAAAATAAAGAAATAATGTAATTATTTCAGGACTACGAGGACTTAAAGTGTATACATTCCTGAGTCACTCAGAAGACTTCGGTAAGACAATTTTCTTCTGCCTACCCATTCGTTTCCAAGCCATAAGGCATGTCGCGGAGAACCTAACGGGTAACCGGGGCTCCGGCTCGACGTGCAGGAGAAGGAACGGGGTGGTTTTTAGTCAGTAAGAGTCTGACACTCCCTCCCGCCTCACCCAGGCAGGAGCAGTCATTCGATGATATTCCTCCCTTAAAAAAAAGCCATAAGGCATATTATCACATATTTTCAATACAATAATTAATCCGTCAGTTATATAATGAAAAGATGTTCAAGATATTTTTTCGCGTATAAAGTTACATTACTTTGATAAAATAGCGTTAAGTTTATGAGTGTGATACGTTTACGTCATACGTTTGGACGTATGACGTTTGAATAGGTTGCTTATGGACGACGTGCTCCTTCGTAGACCGCATTAGCGCTTACCACCAGGCGAGATAGTGGTCAAACGTCGGCCCATCCATCCAGTATGGGAAAAAATACGTGTCTAATGTTTTAAATTAATCTACCAGACGGACATTAAAATAAAATTTTGCAATTTAGCCTATTATTAACATAATACCATAACATAATATTACGCCTTTTATCCCGAAGGGGTAGACATGCACATTACGGCACTTAATGCCACTATACAATGTAACACCCACTGTTCACTATTTATGTTATGAGTCCCATGTTGGGGGTGATTCGGACACAATTCCAGACTCCGTGCTACTACTGAGAATTAAAAAAAAAACAGTAATACTTTACCCGACTCGAAACCCCTTGGCCAGCAGTCACACTTGTGACCACTGAGGTAACGAGGCAGTCAATTTTATTATTAACATCTATTTGCTAAAATATTCGCCATATAAGCTTAACTTCATAACGTTCTGACGCCTTAGTACGAGTTTCTTTTTCGTTCAAAATAATCGTAACGAATACGCGTTCGGCGCTGTGATTGGCCGGCTCCAATGAACAAACCAATCAGAGCACCGAACGCCGTCTCGTTTCGATTACTTTAACCCAAAAAGAAACTCGTACTAAGCCCTCTGTTATTCTTACTAATGTACTTACTTCGTAATGTCGTATTTCAGAGACAGCCCAAAGTTCTCAGCTACCTTTATCAGAAGGATGTAAGTTGTAATTTTTTTTTTTTTTTTTTTATAATATTATAGATTATTTCTCCACGGACTCTAGGTCCGTGCCCTTGTCATACAGTTTTTTAATTATAATACATCTAGTCAATTTTTATAAAGTAAAGAGGGAACCTAGTTACATACTACAATTAACTACATCTATAATTATTAGCAAAAGTATAGGTTACATAATAATTAGGCACTATTTATTTATTTCTATTTCAAAGGCTTTATGAAACCAGCCCACCAACAAGATGGGAGAGCCGACTTGACCCAGCAGAAGGCACCCGTTCACGAGTATGACGTGTGTGTCAGCAATTGGTCCGGTCAACCTTTTTATTGGGAACGGAACAACCCAACACACAGCGCCACCGACTGTAGGACATTTATGTGTGCATGACGCCTCAACCCTTGCCACATGGGCCGATTCCAATAAAGCGTACAATAGTCCAAAGTCAATTGGTCATATTCTATTTCTACATGTTTCTGCACACACATTTCCTCATGTTGCATTCGTTCCATCACAAGCAACACTCCCCGCCCAAGAGAGCACCCATGACTGTCGCGTCCCTGTGTTTGATGGCCATTTTCAGGTTGTAGTCCTTAATACCTTGCTCACCCTCATCAGCCGCCTTCCTGATTAGTTTGCTTATCGCGTCTTCACTGTTGTCTGTGTAATAGATGCAACCATGCGTGTGACGCGATATTGCTACTACCGCGTGTGGTACGCTGTCATGTATTTGATGTTTCTTTGTTGCTGTGTTGACAACAATCACATTCGCACACGAAAGTCCCTGTGCCTCGTGTATCGTGAGCACGCGTGATCCCACGGTCGACCCGTATCCCTGGTTCTTAAGGGATTCCTTCTCTGCCTGAGTGTGTACCAGGTATAAAGTGTCGGGGAGTGACTTTGGAATCATCGCCCCCGAGAACCTTTTTATCTCGAGGGATCTCACGAACGACCTGGACGAATATATGCCACTGTAAACTGTGCTGAGGGCATACGCCACATCCATTGGATTTCTGTGGGTACACATCAATTCCTGGCTTATGGGCGTGATATATGTAGGGCGGCTGTAGAGTAGAGGGAAGAGGTTATCACGATCTATAAACGGAAGCTGATTTATGTCACCAATTAGAAGGACTTCCTTGGCTCGAGTTATTCGGGCGGCCATCACAACGGCTCCAAAGTGGTTCATGAGAGCCTCATCTACCATTAGGCGTTGGCAGCTCTCTCGCTCCCCCAAGCCGTTTACTAGGATGGACGCCATTGTTCGAACCCTAGATTTGACGAGTCCTCCGATTCGGCAGGATAGTTTGCCTCTGAGGTCATTTGCTGCTTCGGTTGTCGTGGTGACAATTAGATCTTTACCCGCTTCAAATTGATCTACTATCCATGTCGTTTTTCCGCAACCAGGGACGCCATTTGTCCAGCGAAACGTCGGAGTATGCCAGTCTCCAAAAACTTCGCCGTCTGATCCAGAATCAGAAATGGATCTTGCCATCTCTAATATTCTATCGTCCAGCATAATTCTGGTGCATTTGGCAACCACTACTAGGGAATCCCCTGGAGGAGTTTTAAACTTTAACACTCCGCATCGATCGGATTCCCTCTCGTCCAGAGACACAAATCCGGCAGTTGCGTTATAAGCAGCCATACTTCGAGTTATAGAGGTTCCTCTCAGTACCCTCGAGGTGTTGTTGTCGTATATGACTGCTTCTGCTGCTTCGAGTCTATCGTTCAGTATTAGCTCGTTTCCTTGCAGGTAAGTCTGCAGAATGGATTCGCATTTCCGCATGTTGACTTGCCTGGTTGCCTCCACCACTGCGGTAAACTCGAGAAAAGCATTTACGACATGGTCTCTGGTAGTGGACGCTTGTCGAAGCCTCGGCGGACAAACGTGACCCATAGCTGCTCTTGTTGGTGATGACCTGGGGGGAGGAGACTGTATTTGTGCGCCTCCTGATCCTTGAGCAGATTTAACCACATTTTTTCTGAAGGGTGACGAAATCAGTCCGGTTACTGAGCATATGGCCGCTGTTATTGCCCACACTCTACCTCGTGATTCTAATTTTTTATTTTCCCTCTCGGTGTTGTGTTGTAAGTTGTAATTTTAACTTTAATCAGTTCAGTTGATATGCAGGTAACAAAATAAAAATTAACTCGGTAGAGAAACAGTAGCTATTGCTACGCTAAATTATATGATTTTAAACGAAACCTTTCTTATGTATTAAGTAAACATCGTGAGGAAACCTGGTCTTATGATTTCTAAATATAAGTTTGAAATCTGTAACCCATTGAGCAAGCGTGGTGATTAATACTCAAACCTTCTCCGTTCGATAAGAAACTTTGCACAGCAATGGGCTGTTGACAATAAAATATTTATTTTGTAATCGTTAATTTGGCTTAATAGTCACCCGGTGGATATTGTCTCTGTATTTATCAATCTTTATTTTTGTAACTGCATACTAAATAATACAGTATTTACCAACTAGTCAAATTCAATACTTTTTTCGAACTGTCAAAAACGACAATTTTCTATGAATTTTGTACGAGATTGTGAACTGTGACGTCACGTTTTTTTTAGCATCAAACAGCGTACTCATTTCTTAAAAAAAAATGCTGAATAAAATTCTAAAATTAAGTTGGTCATAGAATTAATTAATGAAATTGTGATTATTTTTAAATATTTCATTGTATTATAAACAGTCGAAATAATTTATTTTTGATTAAGGAAAGTACCCAATTGGTATGACTGTACAATCTGTACATCTACATATAAAATGCCATATCTTTATCCCATGATATTATATTGTAAGAAAAGAAACTGCCTTTTATAATCATATTAAAACTTATTTAGAATTCATAATTAAAGTCTCACAGTTAAAAAAAAAACAAAAAAGAAACCAGCATGTACAAATGTGATAGAGGTAGAAGCTAAAAAGGTGTGTAGGGTCATACTAGGTTGTGCTCTGAAGCTCAATGCTACCGCTGACCTATTTTGATTAATGCCAGTGTCATAGGAAAAAATATAGTAAAACGATACGCTAGGTACTTGTTCTCTGAAAACCGACGTCAAAACCAATGGAGACCACGTACCGGCAAGTGCAGGCGGACGACCCAAAAGGTGGACCGAGGACTTGATAAAGGTCAAAGTCGCTTGATTCAGAGAAGCTAGCTATTCATCATCATCATCAGCCTGTATTCGTCCACTGGTGGAGATAGACCTCTCCTATGGCACGCCACTGAGCTCGGTCTTCAGCTCTTCTCATCCAACCACTGCCAGCCACCTTGCAGATGTCGTCACTCCACCTAGCTGAAGGGCGCCCTACACTGCGTTTGCCTAGACGCGGTCTCCACTCTAGAACACGTTTAGTCTAGTGCGAATTGGTTTTACTTTAATGCTATCAACACGTTTATGATGTACGGTGTTCTGATTGGTCAACTGAAACGGATCAACCACAGGACTACACGCGGTAAAGTTTCGTTTTGATCGCATTAACGTAGAAAAAGCTCTAGGCCTATGTCTGATAGTAGATGTGATATGGCTGATATATTTACACTGTCATTTGTTTACTAGCTACGTACTGTACGATGGGCAGAAACACAAAGGTAGGCTGCAATCACTGCACGTGTGTCGCTGGACAACTTTACATGTGCACTGGAATGATCTGCCCCTTCAAACCGCATATAAAACGTAAGACATTTTACTTTACTCAGTCTATTCGTCAAAATAACTTGTTTTCAGGCCAAAACTATTGCAACAGGTCTATTGAAAAGACCTTCTAACGTCCTTTTCAATGTAGAGTGAGGCTGATCCCATTTCACTGGTCCCAACTGGTCCCAAGCGGTCCTAACTGGTACCGTTTCACGGCAGACTTCGAACATGGATATGTATCCATCAGTTTCTACTAATAGAATAACTTATCTGTACATGTCACCAGTTTTTAGCGTGAAATAAAGTTTTTTCTGTCTTTCTTTCTGATCTCAATATGCTTACAGCTGCGACAGGAATTTATAAAGCCTCGACTTCCGACCCTTCAAGTCTGAATATACAGACTAACGTTTTGAAACTTTTATTAAAAACCTTCGTTAAAACCTAGCATGTTAATAATACTAATGGTAACAAAAATCTCACCCCCTTTTAGATAAACCTAATAAAACATTGAGAGCCTCACGATCCGAATGCGTTGATGGTACGTCGTACATGGATGACAAGGGATGCAACCAATGCTACTGCATCGATAACACAGAGTACTGCACTTTAAACGACTGCGGTTCCCTCGGAGGTAAGTTCAATATTAACCGATTATAAGGAGTTTTTAATCCGTCCACAAACGCCGGAGTAATCGCGTAACATGCACACAAAAAACAACATTCTTGATTCTTGACACGTCTGTTTCGCCTAACTTTGGAGACTGGTCAAGTGCTGAAGGCATGGAAGCTGGCTAACGTGCAAACTGTGCCTAAAAAAGGCAGTCGTGCCGACCCTAGTAACTACAGACCTATCTCGGTCATGTCCATACTCTGTAAGAGTATTCTGAATATCAGGCTCATGGCATACCTTGAAGGTAACGATCTCCTTAGTGATCAGCAATACGGATCTACTATTACTTACTCTTGCGTATGCCACCCACATCTGGAGCGAGGCCATCGAGAAACACGGGGAAGCGTTAGCCGTATCGCTCGATGACTCTAAGGCCTTCAACAGGGTCTGGCATAATAGTCTTGTTGGCAAGCTTCCTGCTTATGGTGGGATTTGTGCAGATGGATAACAGACTTCCTGAGGGATCAATAGATCCGAGTGGTCATTGATGGCTGCTCATCCGATCAACTTAATGTTAACTTTGGCTCGTATATTCAGTCAAAGGCGCAACTGGCTCGTAGAAAGTTGTATGTCCTATCGAGGATGAGACGATACTTCGCGCCGGAGCGGTTGCTTAATCTTTACCAAGCAAAATTTCGGTCGTGTGTGGAGTACTGCTCCCATCTTTGGGATGGCTCGGCTAAATACCAGCTGGAAGCCCTCGAATCTATCAAGAGGCGTGCCAAGAGGCTCATCATTGACGATTCGCTTGTGGAGGCTCGACTTCAAAGCTTCGAACACAGGCGCAAAGTCGCAAGCCTTTTGGTCCTCTATCGGATACATAACATACATATTATACAATACCAATAACAGTGACTCTTGGTCCATGTAGTGCTATAATAGTATTACTCAAATATGCTCACATAAATGAATAAGTTCTAAAGAAACAATTACTCGTGCGGTGTTGTAGTTCCTGGTACTGTGTTATAAATTGTAATGTTGATTCAATCTTTATACTTTTAGGAGAAATGCGGAAGCTACGGACGGATTTCAAGTGCGTTAATGGTACGTCGTTCATGGATGACGAGGGATGCAACCGATGCTTCTGCGTCAATAATCGCGCGATCTGCACTATGAAAGCCTGCCTAAAGATAAGCGGTAAATTTATTTTATATCTACTATCGACTTATATTTTAAAACGTGTACTACAGTATAAATATAGACGATCCCAATACTTACAGCTGCGACAGGAATTTACAAAGCCCCGACTTCCGACCTTTTCAACTCTGAATATACAGAACCAACGTTTTGAAACGTATATGAAGACCTTCGTTTGAACCTTGCATGTCCTTAATACTAATGGTAACCGCTAAAAATCTCACCCCTTTTTAGATAAAGATAAAGCGTTGTTGAGAGCCACACGATCCGAATGCGTTGAAGGTACGTCGTACATGGATGCCGAGGGATGCAACCGCTGCTACTGCATCGATAACACAGAGTACTGCAGTTTACAAGACTGTGGTTTCCCCGGAGGTAAATTTAATATTATCGGTTTCTGTTTATGGAATAAACAGACTAAACACCTCGGTAAGCGATCGGCGCCGCCTATGGACACCTTAAACAACGGAGGCGTTACAAGACAATTACTGGTGTTTTGGGGAATAGGAATTTGAGGATTGTTGGGAATTAGGAGATTGGGGAGATTGAGGAGGGGGATAATTGGGCCTCCGGTAACCTCACTCACACGATGAAATACAACGCATGCGTTGTGTCACATGGGTTCTCTTTGAGGTCATGGTATCACTCCGGTCGAGCCGGCCCTTTCGTGCCGAAGTATGGCTCTCCCACACTTAAGTAAGGGTAAGACATTAAAGAGTTTCTCAGTTTCACCTGTATGTCTGACCGCAATTATCTCGCGATTGGCTGAACCCATTTTGATGAAGTTATCAGAAAAGTGTTTTTGAATATTAGTGGCTATTATATTATTAACATTATAATTAGCCGACTTCAAAACAAAGTAGAATGTTGAAGCCAATATTTTTAAACGTAATTTATTGAAAATTGAAAATAAATGATACAGAGTGTTCTAAAAATTAAGGATTGAAGAATCTTGGGCATTCATGGGCACATTGGAAGTTGAAGTAACGGTGTCGATATGTATATTATTTTATTTTGAAAGATTTATAGGACAGTGTATACAGTAGGGTACTTTAAACCGTTCTGACAGAAATAGCAGCCCCGCTAAGCGGGGCTCCACTGTTTGAACTGTTTAACATATGCTGAACTACTTTGTCCTGAAATCGGGTCTGGCCAGTAAAATATACAATACGTTTAGTGACTCTTGGCCATATAGTATTATAATAGTATTACTTAAATAAGCTCACACAATCTATACTTATAATAAATCTGTAGAGAGGTCAATTCTGTACATAAAATATATTTAAAAAATAACTATCAAGGGGTGGTTAGGGATCGCTGCTGAAGCCAAAAATGCAATCAGTAAAATTTTTGTCTGTCTGTCTGTCTGTCTGTATGTTCGTTATGGAAACAAAAACTACTCGACGGATTTTAACGAAATTTGGCACAACTATTCTTCATACTCTTGGGCAGGTTATACTATACTTTTCATTACGCTACGATCAATAGGAGCAGAGCAGTGAAGGGAAATATTGGGAAAACGGGAGAAGTTACTCCATTTTTTAAGCTTCCGTCACGTGTGCAGGCTTATAGGTTAAAGCTACATAGAAATCATGTAGGACGGAAATATTCTCCTTAAAATTATATAAAAAATATTCCTCGACAGCACATGTCTATCTTTTATGGTTGACTCACAATAACACGTGAATCTCCCGATAACTTAGTAATTCGGTGATTTCTGATTGTATTTGTCTACTCTAACGTTTACAATACTCATTCATAGACTTTACGCTGTAACTGAAAGGCCAATGGTTGAAATTAGCTTGACTCGATATTATAAATGAAAATATGTGAGTTTATGTGTATGTTTGTTACTCAGTCATATTAAAACGACTGAAGGGACCGGAATGAAATTCGGAACAGACGTAGATTATGGTCTGAAGTGATACATAGGCATTTTACCCCTGGGATCGCGGGCGAAGCCGCTGGCAGAAGCTAGTTGAAAATAAATTCTAAAGAAACAATTACTCAGGCTGCGTCCTACTTCGTAGTAGGTACTGTGTTGTAATAAAATTGTAATGTTGATTCAATCTTTATACTTTTAGGGAAAATGCTGAGGATAAGGACGGATGTGAAATGCATTAATGGTACGTCGTACATGGATGACGAGGGATGCAACCGTTGCTTCTGCATCGATAATAATGAGGTCTGCACTATGAAAGCCTGCATAAAGGAAAGCGGTAAATCTATTTTATTTATAATATTGTAAAAATATCTCTAGATGGAGCGTCACCATACAATAGCAAGAAAAATGACGTTGCAAAATTTCTTGCATTTGTGCCTGTTTTAATGTATATCTGGTAGATTATTTAAAAACATTAGACACGTATTTTTTTTTCTTACGGAAACGAATACTTTCGAAGACTATATTGATTTGAAATATCGCATGACGTCACTTTTGATTACGATTTATACTCTAAAATGACGTAAGTACCTCCCACTCCTAATCTTTGATTCGTTTTATTTATTATTAGTTATTTATTGTTTTATTCAACGACAAAATAAAAAATGCGTGTCTAATATATTTTCATAACCTAACTGACAGACTAATTCGATTTTTAATTTTACATACACTGTCATCATCCCTATTGTTTTTGTCAGCGTATTCGTGGGCGTTCCGTTTACAATAATACAGGTGTAGTTTTGAAACCATGACATTTCTCGGGGGCATGTCACAGAAGTCATCAAGGTTTAATGTAAGAAAAAGTTTCGACAGTAACTATTTCAGAATAAGCGACAACTATGTTTCTTATTGGAGTTTTATGGAATTAGGAATAATATCAATTACATATTTGAGTTTGTGTGTATTAAGCCGCGTAATAAAGCTAGTTACAAGACGGCGACGTGTAGTTCGCACTTACGGATTTCCGTAATTTACAGAAAAATGTAAAATATTTACCTACAATTTTTTTATTGATTCGGACTCAGAATCTTTAGTCGAGTTACCTCCTAGAAAATGACGTGGCTTTAAAACAACACCTTTTATAATTTGTAATTACATACATACCTAACGCCTGTTTTCTGTTGGGAGGCAGGTTCCTAGACACTATCCTTATTATTATAAATGGGAAAGTGAGTTTGTTTGTTTGTTCCAGTTTCACGCCGTAACTACTAAACCGATTGCTTTGAATTTTTGCAGACGTAAAGTTAGAATTAAATTATAGGGTACTTATTATCCCGAAAAATTTCGATATTCCCGAGGGAAAACAAAAGAATTGGTATAGATGGCGCTGTGTGTATTGGTATGTCACATAGGCTACTTTTATCCTTTTGTGACGCGAGCGAACCTGCGGGTAAAAGCTAGTTGATTATAATTTGTAACTGTAAACAGTTTAATAGACGGTACATATTAAGATTAAAACGTAACAAGACACAATATTATGTCTTAATTCAATTCGTTTTTGTTCCAGCGTTTTGCTTAGTAGGATCAGTAAAACAAAGCATATGTGGAGAATGCGTCTGCACCACGGGAAGGTGGGATTGCCCTAGTTGTGAATATAACGAGCTCTTTACCAAAATACGTAAGTACAATTTATTTTCTTATAATATAACATTACGCATTTTATCCGCGAAGGGTTAGGCAGAGGTGTAAATTACGGCACTTAATGCCACTGTACAGTGTAACACCCACTTTTCACTATTTCCTATATATCACACCTGAGACTCAGGACAGTTGCTTTGACAACACAATCAAAATACAAATAGCGAGTAAATGTGAGCAAGTGTGTGTGTGTGTGTGTGTGTGTGTGTGTGTGTGTATGTGTAGCATTGTCAAGTTTCATGATGATACAAGAATTAGATTACCTATGTACCTTATGCTTGTAATGTGTTGTCCTTTGTAATATTGTCTGTGTGGTGTAGGTACATGAAATGATAAATAAATAAATAGAAGTGTAAGTACATAATTCTGATTCCTTAGATTTTGTTTACATAGTTCGTTAATGGCTGAGATGGCGTAGTAAAACGTTTTTTAAATTAAAAATTAAGACAAGCTTAGTAGTTGGCTGCATTTAAAGATAAAGTTAAGAAGCACTATCTCTTTTGTCTGTAATGACGTCATCATCAAACTGTTTTGTTTCTTCTCATGTGATGCACGATTTTTGTATATTTATTATTTACTAGTTTCTGCCAGCGGCTTCGCCCGCGATCCCAGGGGTAAAATGCCTATGTATCACTTTAGACCATAATCTACCTCTGTTCCGAATTTCATTCCGGTCCCTTCAGTGGTTTTAATATGACTGAGTAACAAACATACACATAAACTCACATATTTTCATTTTTAATATCGAGTCAAGCTAATTTCAACCATTGGCCTTTCAATTACAGCGTAATGTCTATGAATGAGTATTGTAAACGTTAGAGTAGACAAATACAATCAGAAATCAGCGAATTGCTAAGCTATCGGGAATTTCACGTGTTATTGTGAGTCAACCATAAAAGATAGACTTATGCTGTCGAGGAATATTTTTTATATAATTTTAAGGAGAATATTTCCGTCATATATGATTTCTATGCAGCTTTAACCTATAAGCCTGCACACGCAACGGAAGCTTAAAAAATGGAGTAACTTCTCCCGTTTTCCCAATATTTCCCTTCACTGCTCTGCTCCTATTGATCGTAGCGTAATGAAAAGTATACTATAACCTGCCCAAGAGTATGAAGAATAATTGTGCCAAATTTCGTTAAAATCCATCGAGTAGTTTTTGTTTCCATAACGAACATACAGACAGACAGACAGACAGACAAAAATTGTACTGATTGCATTTTTTGCATCAGTAGCGATCCCTAACCACCCCTTGATAGTTATTTTTTAAATATATTTTATGTACAGAATTGACCTCTCTACAGATTTATTATAAGTATAGATAAGTAAGTATGTATGTATTATGTATGCATATATATGCATGATTTTTTGTATGTTCAGTCAAAGTTTTTGGGTCAAAAGTCCACTGCCATTGTGAGTGGTGTTCACACGGCGATGCGTAAGTAATTTCATATTAATGTGCATAAAAACGCACGCGTACGCACACGGATAAAAATATGCGTGTGCATGTGTGTATAAGCGCTGCAGCGCAACCGATAGTAGTCTTACAGTGGACTTTTTACCTTTGACCGTACATATATGTATATGTACGTATGTGGATGTATGTATTATTACTGTTTTATTTTTGTAGTACACAATCCGTCTAAATATTTCTTTAGCAATCTATCCACCCAAAGGTTTTCTGGTAGAAATCACTATAAGTGATAAGACCGCCATCGTGCCCATTATTATTTTTTATTTGTTTGTTATGTTCTATATTTTAATGGTTTACAATAGAGATTATTCTATTCCATTCTATTCTATTCTATACCATTCTATTCCATTCTATTACATTCTATTTCATTCTATTCCATTCTAGTCTAAGTTCTGAGTACATGATATTGTTTTTTAAAACCGTTGTAAGTATTACTTTATTTATTATTTTTTAGAAAATGTACATATATATACATATTGATTTGAATCTTCATACTTTTAGATAAACATAAGTTAAGAGTCCAAAATCCTGAATGCGACGACCATCCAGCGGGTGACTGGTTCCTAGATGAAGACGAATGCAATCACTGCATCTGTATGAATAATAACAAAATCTGCACTAAGATGAATTGCTTGAAGGCAGAAGGAAGTAGTAAGTCTATGTCCAATAACTATACATTATAATTCTTTTATAGAGTATTTTTAAAAAGACCGACTTCAACCAGCTCTTCTTTTTTAAGACGGTTAACTAGAAGTCCTTCACCTAAGTGTAAAAAACCCTTTTCTGAAAACCGCATCAAAATCGGTTCAGTCAATTGCGAGATAATCGCGTACATACTATACATACATACATATTATACTTACATACCTGAGGACCTCCTTCATTTGAAGTCGGTTAATATTTATGCACTTACCAACTGTACCCGCGGTTTCGGAATTATTATATGAAAGTGTGTATGTCGTTTTATTCTGAAATTATTATATGAAAGCGGATTCGATAGGTTAGTTCAAGCCGAGTGGGCAGAAACAGGAGCCCTGCTAAGCGATTTTCCATTGCTTAATCCAAACTACTTTGTTCTGAAATCGGATCTGGCCAGTAACATATTATACAATACTAATAACAGTGACTCTTGGTCCATGTAGTGCTATAATAGTATTACTCAAATATGCTCACATAATTGAATAAGTTCCGAAGAAACAATTACTCGTGCAGCGTCCTAGTTCCTGGTACTGTCTTATAAATTGTAATGTTGATTAAATGTTTATATTTTTAGGGGAAATGTGGAAGCTACGGACGGATTTCCAATGCGTTAATGTCACTATCCACTCATATTTACAGATAGACGATCCCAATACTTAAAGCTGCGACAGGAATTTATAAAACTTCGACTTTCGACCTTTTCAAGTCTGAATATATAGAACCAACGTTTTGAAACCTATATGAAGACCTCCATTACAACTTAGCATGTCCTTAATACTAATGGTAACAGCTAAAATCTCACCCCTTTTTAGATAAAGATAAAGCATTGAGAGCCTCACGATCCGAATGCGTTGATGGTACGTCGTACATGGATGCCGAGGGATGCAACCACTGCTACTGCATCGATAACACAGAGTACTGCACTTTACACGACTGCGGTTCCCTCGGAGGTAAATTCAATATTAATCGATTTTGTGGAGTTTTTAATTCGCCCACAAACGCCGGAGTAATCGCATAACATGCACACAAAAAACAACAAACAGGCGAATTGAGAACTTCCCCTTTTTTGGAAGTCGGTTTAAAGGATCATGGGCATTCGTAGGCACGTTGGAACAACAGTGTCGATAAGTAATTAAGTATGTATGTCATTTTATTTGAAATTATTATATGAAAGTATGTGTGTCGTTTTATTCTGAAATTATTATATGAAAGTGGGTTAGTTCAAACCATGCGGGCAGAAACAGCAGTCCTGTTAAGCGATTTTCCATTGCTTGATCCAAACTACTTTGTTCTGAAATCGGGTCTGGCCAGTAACATATACAATACCAATAACAGTGACTCTTGGTCCATGTAGTGCTATAATAGTATTACTCAAATATGCTCACATAAAAGAATAAGTTCCGAAGAAACAATTACTCGTGCGGCGTCCTAGTTCCTGGTACTGTGTTATAAATTGTAATGTTGATTCAATCTTCATACTTTTAGGAAAAATGCGGAAGCTACGGACGGATTTCAAGTGCGTTAATGGTACGTCGTTCATGGATGACGAGGGATGCAACCGATGCTTCTGCGTCAATAATCACGCGATCTGCACTATGAAAGCCTGCCTAAAGATAAGCGGTAAATTTATTTTATATCTACTATCCACTCATATTTTAAAACGTGTACAACAGTATGAAGATAGACGATCCCAATACTTAAAGCTGCGACAGGAATTTACAAAGCCCCGACTTCCGACCTTTTCAACTCTGAATATACAGAACCAACGTTTTGAAACGTATATGTAGACCTTCGTTTGAACCTTGCATGTCCTTAATACTAATGGTAACCGCTAAAAATCTCACCACTTTTTAGATAAAGATAAAGCGTTGTTGAGAGCCACACGATCCGAATGCGTTGAAGGTACATCGTACATGGATGCCGAGGGATGCAACCGCTGCTACTGCATCGATAACACAGAGTACTGCAGTTTACAAGACTGCGGTTTCCCCGGAGGTAAATTCAATATTATCGGATTCTGTTTATGGAATAAATAGACTCAACACCTGGTGGTAAGCGATCGGCGCCGCCCATGGACACCTTAAACAACGGAGGCGTTACAAGACAGTTACTGGTGTTTTGGGGAATAGGAATTTGAGGATTGTTGGGAATTAGGAGATTGGGGAGATTGAGGAGGGGGATAATTGGGCCTCCGGTAACCTCACTCACACGATGAAATACAACGCATGCGTTGTTTCACATGGGTTCGCCGGCCCTTTCGTGCCGAAGTATGGCTCTCCCACACATAAGTAAGAGTAAGACATTATAGAGTTGGTCAGTTTCACCTGTATGTTTGACCGCAGTGGTCCACTGCTCCAGTGCTTGAATTGTTTAACATATGCTAAATTACTTTGTCCTGAAATCGGGTCTGGCCAGTAACACATACAATACATTTAGTGACTCTTGGCCATAGTATTATAATAGTATTACTCAAATATGCTCACACAATTGAAAATAAGTTCCGGAGAAACAATTACTCAGGCTGCGTCCTAGTTCATAGTAGCTACTGTGTTGTAGTAAAATTGTAATGTTGATTCAATCTTTATACTTTTAGGGAAAATGCTGAGGATAAGGACGGATGTGGAATGCGTTAATGGTACATCGTACATGGATGACGAGGGATGTAACCGTTGCTTCTGCATCGATAATAATGAGGTCTGCACTTTGAAAGCCTGCATAGAGGAAAGCGGTAAATCTATTTTATTTATAATATTGTAAAAATATCTCTAGATGGAGCGTCACCATACAATAGCAACAAATATGACGTTATAAAATTTCATGCATGTGTGCGTGCGGTTTGTGGTTTATAAGCCGGTAAACGAGCAGACGGATCACCTGATGGTAAGCAATCGGTGTCGCCCATGGACACCTGCAACACCAGAGGCGTTACAAGTGCATTACCGGCTTTTTGGGATTAGGAGTTTGAGGATCGTTAGGGATTCAGGGATTGCGGAGATTGGGAAAGGGGAGGGTAATTGGGCCTCCGGTAACCTCACTCACACGACGAAACACAACGCAAGCGTTGCTTCACGTCGGTTTTCTGTGAGGCCGTGGTATCACTCCGGTCGAGCCGGCCCATTTGTGCTGAAGCATGGCTCTCCCACACTTATCATCTTCTTCATCTTATTTTTCCCACACTTATCACCAAATTTTTATCTCCCATAAATATTTAGGCACATTTACTAAATCATCTAGACTTAAAGTTAAAAAAATATGTATATTGAATATGGATTTAAAGTTTTTATTATTGGGCGCTGTGTTGATATTTATATTTTTCCTTGTAAGTAATTTATTTTTCGTATAAAATAAATTATGTTGTTAACTGCCTCATTGGCCTTGTGGTCGCAAGTGCGACTGCCGGGCAAGGGGTCTCGGGTTCGATACCCGGGTCCGGCAAAGTATTACTGGGTTTTTTTAAAACTCAGTTATAGCACGGAGTCTAGAAATGTGCCCGTCATTTATACTGTTGGGTAAACTTTATGGAGTACATGGCCATTTTTGCAATGTATTATTGATATGTAGCGTGCATGACACGTAGTGACGTCTAGATGCCACGATTGGTACTACTTGAAGGGAAAGTGAACTGCTCACAGCAAATTTTTAAACGTTTTTCGTAAACTGACACGCCGTTTTTTTTTTGAGGGTAGATAATCATCCAATGACTTCTCCCGCCCGAGTGAGGCGGGAGGGAGTGTCACTCTAACTGATTAAAAACCACCCCGTTCCTACTCCTGAACTTCGAGCCGGAGTCCCGGTAACCTGTTAAGCCCTCCGCGGCTCCGTGTCGGCATCAGCACTATTGGGCCCCATCGGTGGTGGTCTGAGGCCTTAGTACGAGTTTGTTTTACGTTTAAAGTAATCGAAACGAGTACGCGTTCGGCGCTCTTATTGGTCGGCGCCAATGAAGCAACCAATCATAGCGCCGAATGCGCCGTACTAAGGCGCGCGCGCGGAACGCGACGCGCCGTACGTTCGAGTCTGATTCTGGTCGGACGGCGAGTTACCCGTGCATGCCGTCCGCAGGCCCGTGCTTATGGTGGCTATGGCTGGCATTCCATCTAGAGATTATATATTCAAAGTTTACTTATGCTTTGATATTTTAAAACGTGTTTATAATACACAGATCGACGATGTTACATACACATGTTCTTAACTGAATGGTACCAGTTGTTTACTATTGTTATTATTTGTAGACTATTGATTATAATATTTGTAACTGTAAATAGTTTAATAGACGGTACACACTAAGATTTTAAAACGTAACAAGACAAAATATTATGTTTTAATTCAATTCGTTTTTGTTCCAGCGTTTTGCTTAATAGGATCAGTAAAACATACCATGTGTGGAGAATGCGTCTGCACCACGGGATTATGGGATTGCCCTAGTTGTGAAAATAATGAGCTCTTTAACAAAATACGTAAGTAAATTTTATTTTCAAGGGTTAGGCAGAGGTGCTCATTACGGCACTTAATGCCACTGTACAATGTAACACCTACTTTTCACTATTTATTTTATGAGTCCCATGTAATAGGGGGTGAGCCTATTGCCATATACCGGGCACAATTCCAGACTCCGTGCTACAACTGAGAATTTTTTAAAAACCTAGTAATGCTTTGCCCGACCCGGCAATCGAACGTGCTTATTGTCATGGGTCAGGGTCGAAACCTATCAACGGCAAGTACCAATATGAATTTCTCCGAGTTATAATGTACTTTCCAAGATTATTTAGACACTACTGACAAACGGTGAAGGAAAACATCGTGAGGAAACCTGGGCTTATAATTTCTAATTATAGTTTGTAATCACCAACCCGCATTGAGTAAGCGTGGTGATTAATGCTCAAACCTTTTCCGTGTAAGAAGAGGCTTTCTTCAGCAGTGGGCAAATATAGGCTGTTGATGATCTTGCTTAGAAATAATAAAAACTGTCAACGAAGCGGCAATATTAAACCCGCTATTGTTTGTGAAGATTGCATGCATTCGTCAAATATCGCAACGCGGACTGTGTTACCCCAAATTAATGCAACGTTGTATAATAATTAAATTTTACTGCAGTAAACACCAGGTCAAGTCCAAGATGCTACTCTGGAAGCTCCAAAATGGTCGATTGTGGAAAATGCTTCTGTGTCTCTGGAAAGTGGATCTGCCCTATCTGTGACGAGCAACACTCACGTTAGTTATACATTTTATTTTCTTATCTTATACTACTAAATAAAGCTGAAGAGTTATTTTGTTTGATTGTTTGTTTGTTTGTTTGTTTGTTTGAATGCGCTAATCTGCGGAACTACCAGAACGATTACAATATTTTTTTTGTGTTGAATAGTCCATTTATCGAAGAAGGTTATAGGCTACAAAACATCACGCTACGATTAATAGGAGCAGTGGATACAACCGCGCGGAAATAGCTAGTTACTACATATTTCTGCAATTGACCAACAGATGGCAGCTAACTTAAAAAACTTCCAATTTCACATCCAACTGTCTTTCTTCTTTTATACTAGATAATAGGTTTTGTTCTTACTAATCCTACTAAATAATAATACTACCTTAACCTTAGTAACCATAACGATAACCTATCCCCGTTCATCATCATCCTGATCCCTTCAGCCATTTTGACAGATTAAGTAACACTCATATACACAAACATACAAACTGTCGTGTTTATAATATTAGTAAGGTTTTTCTTTTGTTAGGTCTAGATATGAGCATGACCAGAAGAGGAGGTGACAGAAGGTGTGTACACGGCGAGCGATATAAAACGGATCCTTGTAATTACTGTGTATGTGTTGACGGCCACGATATATGCACGAATACTGATTGTGCCGCCGTTAAATTGGGTAAGGCATAAATAATAGGGTAGTTTCCTAAATTTTATTTTAATGTCCGTCTGGTACATTAATTTAAAACTTTAGACACGTATTATTTCTTTTCTCACAAAATTAAATACTTTTAACGATATATTAATTTGAAATATCGTGTGACGTCACAACGTGCCACATTTTGTAGCACGTTATGACGTAACGTAACGACCTCCCACTCCTAAACTTAGCGCCATTTTATCTAAGAATTGCAACTTAATACGAGAAAATAATAAAAAACGTGTCTAATAATTTTTCATTGTCTAACTGACGGACTAATTAGATTTTTAATTCTGATACCCTGGAAACTACCCAATTGTTATCAATAATAGCAATTAACTTAAAAATATTTTTCATTGCAGTATCATTAGTCTTTAAGTGTCCGCTGCTCTTCTCGCAAGGAGGTCTGAGCATTTAGTACCACGCTTGCTCAGGGAATTATTAATCCATTCATAGAAATTTTTTGTTCAAGTTTCCTCACGATGTTTTCCTTCATCGTATGTCAGTGGTGTGAAGTCACATTGGTGCTTGCAAAGTTTCAAACCCACACAATCATGCATAACAAACTAAGTCTCCAGGCCACTACGACTACACTATATTTATTTATTTTATTACCCACGTATGAAACTAACAATTTATTCATGTGTTTGAAGATGGCGTTTTATGCAATCCCTATAAGGACATAAGTCCAATAAAGGTCGATTGCAACGTTTGCACCTGCAGTAAATCAACGAATCTTAAAATATTCCGATGGCTGTGGTATTGCACAAAACGTGATTGTGATACTTACGAAAAAAATACAAAAATGCGGAAACGTACGTAGTAAGAAAATACATATAGTAATATATATTACTAGCTTTGAAATTTGGAGTTACTATACAAACTATAAATAAACCTTCCTCTTGAATTACTTTATTTAAAATCCCGTTATAATCTGTTACATAATTTTGAAGATTTAAGCATACATACAGACACAGACGACGGAAAGCGTGACAAATGTATTAAAACATAATTAAATTGAACATTTCTAAGTTTTCCAATAACATGAAATTATTAATTAATTGACTAACATTTTTAGCAAACATAATGTCGACCCCATGCAGAGAAGGTAGCACGCGACAAATAGACAACTGCAACCACTGTAAATGTGAATACGGGTTGTTTGTTTGTACTAACGAAATATGTGACACAGAAAGCACTACTCCAGGTTGTAAGTGTTTTCTTTCTCTGATTACCTCCCTCCCCAACCTCCACAATCCCTAACAAACCCTTAAATTCCCAATCCCCAAAAGGCTGGTAACGCACTTGTAATGCCTTTGGTGTTTCGGGCGTCCATGGATGGCGCCAATTGCTTACCATCAGGTGATCCGTCAGCTCGTTTATCTACTTATCCCATAAAAAAAAATACTTATGGTGACTGCAACATTCTTGGATGTCTATCTTAAAATACAAATCTGTCAAAGGTCTCCATAGTTAAATCGTATTTAGACCCTATCCCGATTTTATTTAGAACTAATTGAACTTCGTCCGCAACTTCGTCTGCGTCTTTCTAGAATAAATACCTTTAGCCTATGTTCCCCCTAAGTACATTAACTACCTGACAATTGCCGGCAAAATTGGTCCAGCCGTTTCAGAGATTAGTCAGTACAAACAGACCGATAGACAGACAATAAAAAATTTAAAAAGTGTTTCAAAGTCAAAGTCAAAACATTTATTTCAATTAAACCATAAGTTGGTACTTTTAACGTCAATAAATACAAAATAAATAATAGTCTGTCAGTCCGCCAGTGAAGCTAGGTGAAGCTAGGTGCTCATTCCAAAATGTAGATTCAAATGGAGAAGAACGAGCAAGAAACTCCTTTCGTTACACTTTTTAAAAAAGTCTGTTAAATTTGGTATATGTATTATTAAACGCATGTAGTAAAAAACGGTTATTTTGATATTACTTACAAACACTCCAATATTATTTATCTGTACAGACAATCCACTTATACAGCACTTATACACTGATAAAGCAGTGGCTGCGCGCTTCATATTATAAGTATTCCCTGCGTCGTACATTCTTCGTGTACTCGTTTACTTCGTAACTTATAAAAAATCGCGCCTTGAAGAGCCATCAGACCACCACAGATGGGGCCCAGTAGGGCTGCTGCGGACCTGCGGAGAACTTAAAGGGTTACCGGGTTCCAGGTTAAAGAACAGGAGGAGGAACGGGGTTGTTTTAGTCAGTAAAGAAGTCATTGGATAATTTTCCTCCTAAAAAAAAACCATAAAAATCGTGCTGGTATCGAACCTGTGATTTAACTCGGGATGTTAATGTGAGAGTAAGAGAGCAAAGCTTCAGCACTAATAGGCCGGTTCAATGGATACTTTTTTTTTTAAGTGGGGAAAATCATCGAATGACTGCTCCCGCCTGGGTGAGGCGGGAGGGAGTGTCAGACTCTTACTGACTAAAAACCACCCCGTTCCTTCTCCTGCACGTCGAGCCGGAGCCCCGGTTACCCGTTAGGTTCTCCGCGACGTTCGATGGATACTTCGACCTTATAGAAAACTGGTGTGAAACAGATTGCGTTGTGTTTCGCTTTGTGAATAAGGTTACCGGAGGCCCATATCCCCTTTCCCAAAAGGCTAAACGTACGAGTACATTATCACTTGTAACCATATTAGAATTACGGCTGTCTAAGGACGCCAACGATTTGTTACCATCAGGTGATCTGTCCCCTTGTTTGCCTCCGCCTTACCCCGTAGGAAATGTCATCGTAAGCACAACCCAACCGAGTAGCCAATTATAATTAGTAAACAAGTATTAGTAATAAGGTAGTAGTGTATGAAAATTAAAAATGTAATTAGTCCGTCAATTAGATAATGAAAAAATATTAGACACATATTTTTTTATTTTGTCGCATAACAAAACAATTTTTTTTTTTTTTTAAACGTTGCCCCTCACTGGGATTATCTCCTGTGTCGTGGGTGCGTTTACAAACATACAAGTTCACATACACATGACACCCAGACCCGAAACAACAATTTGTGGATCACACAAAGTGTTGTTCCGTGCGGGAATCGAACCCGCGACACGTTGCACGGCAGCCGGTTGCCCAGCCACCGCACCAACCGTGCAGTCAATACTTAGATAAATCGAATCAAAGTTTAGGAGTGAGAGGTCACGTCACGCTACCCTATAAAATGTAGTAAATCGTGACGTCACACGATATTTCAAATCAACATTATCGTCGAAAGTATTTAATATTATTTTATAAGAAGAGATAAAATACGTGTGTAATTGTTTTAAAATAATCTACCCGAGACGGACATTAAAATGAAATTTAGGATAGGTACTAACTACTCTATTGTATGTATTGCTGTTATTGTATACTTTCTTTTTCTATTCAGATAATGTTCTACGAAGAAAAAAAGAATGTGATACTTTTGACTCGAAACGTATAAAATGTAACCGATGTACGTGCATGTTTGGAAAATGGGTCTGTACCCATTTTAAGTGTAAAACCAAATTAAGTAAGTCAAATTACATAATAATTATTACATAACATAACACCTTTTATCCTCGAAGGGGTAGGCAGAGGTGTACATTATGCCACTGTAAAATGTAACACCCACTTTTCACTATTTATGTTATGAGTCCCATGTTAGAGGGGGTGAGCCTATTGCCATATACCAGGCACAATTCCAGACTCCGTGCTACTACTGTGATTTTTTTTTAAAAACCCAGTGTTACTTTGCCCGACCCGGGAATCGAACCCGAGACCCCTTGCCCGGCAGTCGCACTTGCGACACCTCGGCCAATGGAACATAATAATTATAATACATAATATTTATAAATAAAATATAAATATACATTTATTTTTTCATTTGGTTTGGTATGTACCAATGAAATAAATATAACTGAAGAACATACTTACTCAAGTATTTTGGTCATATTGTCTGAGAATATCGTTTTATCTTTATCTACAACTTTTTTTAGAGTACAAGAGTACGACTTGTTACTGGTACGAACAGTAGAGTAAATGATTATTAATTATTTTATTAATGTTATTTCTACAACAACTATCGTGAGACAGCTGAATTAACTAAAAATTACGAGTTACTCACGTAAATATACTGAGACAAGCTCTCTTCATCATCATCAACAGCCTATAAATGCCCACTGCTGAGCAAAGCCTCTTCTCACACGGAGAAGGTTTGAGTATTAATCACCACGCTTGCTCAATGCGGGTTGGCGATTTCAAACTTATAATTAGAAATTATAAGTCCAGGTTTCCTCACGATGTTATTCCTTCACCGTTTGTCAGTGGTGTCTAAATAATCTTAGAAAGTACATATAACTCGGAAAAAGTCACATTGGTACTTGCCGTTGGTAGGTTTCGAACCTACACCCTCATGCGTGAGAAGCGGGCGTCTTAAGCCTCCGGGCCACCACGACACAAGCGACACGACACGAGACAAGCTCTACTAGTTTCTAATAGGCTGCGCGACATCGCCGTCCACGCTACTCATGAGTAAGGGTTCGTACATAAAACAGCCATGCGATGCGATGCGATGCGAATTCGCAACGCAAAAAATTACGATGACAATTGCTGCAATGCGATTTCGTGCGACAAGGCATCTCCCAGTGTGACCATTCCTTCGACGACTCAACTGAATTATACGTATTTCAAATTAAAAACTAGGCCGGGACGACATGGATCGTAAAAAAAAGTGTGCACTTCCGTTATTGATTAGGAAACAATTGCTGAGCCTGTACCAAGCACAGGTTCGGTCCTGTATGGAGTACTGCTCTCATACATCAGCTAGGCGCGTTAGAGCACATTGAGAGGCGTGCCAGGAGGCTCATCGACGATGATGCGCTTGTGAAGGCTCGGCTTCAAAGCCTCGAACACAGGCGTAAGGTTGCAAGCCTTTCGGCTTTCTACCGGATACATTTCGGGGAGTGTGCGGGGGAATTGCACAACTTGATTCCCCCTAGTCCTTTCCATCATCGTACCACAAGACAAGCCGCGAAGCGTCACCGATTCATGGTAGATGTTCCACCCACACGCACGAAGCGCGTCGCTTCAAGCTTCCTTGTGCGTACTGCTAAAGAATGGAATTCTTTGCCAGAGTCTGTATTTCCTGAAGGGTATAACCTGGGAGTCTTCAAGGCCCGAGTGAATAGGTTGCTTATGGCACGACGTGCTCCATCGTAGACCGCATCATCGCTTACCATCAGGTGAGATAGTGTTCAAACGTCGCCCCATCAAATATAAAAAAAAAGGAAAAAGAAACAAAGAAGATTCTGGGAAGATAAGATTTTGATGCGCGATACGAATCAATTCGCAAGTTCTTGCGATGCATAAAGGGAGCTCGCACATTTTTGCGATGCGACGTTGCGTGTTTTGTGTACTAGCCCTTAAGAATCCCTCTGTGACTCGAAACCCCTCTAATGGAATACTGAAATGTTACTCAATTTTAAGTCGTGCTTAAGTATAGTTCTATCTCTACAAATTCTTTGTGAAATGACAGAGATGGCACGATATTTGAGCACGACTTACAATTGAGTAGCGTTTCAGTATTCCGACATAAGAAGTGTAAGTCCAATAAGACCAGAAGTGGACTGCCATCGACTATTGATGTGTTATTGTTATGTAGACATCATATTTTTTGCAGATAATGATGAGATTGAATACATTTCTTGGGGTGAGTAAGTTAAACCATATAAACTAACTATTAATACCCGCCATTTAATTTTCTGTAGCTAAGAGTGAAGATCAGTGTGTTAGTCACAGAACATAAAGAACATAACATCACGCCCTTCATCCCCGAAGGGGTAGGCAGAGGTGCACGTTATGCCACTGTACAATGCAACACTCACTTTTCACCATTTATCTTATGAGTTCCTCGTAATGGGGGGTGAGCCTATTGCCATATACCGGGAATTCCAGACTCCGTGCTACTACTGAGAATTTTTTAAAAACCTAGTAATGCTTTGCCCGACCCGGGAATCGAACCCGAGACCCCTTGCCCGGCAGTCGCACTTGCGACCACTCGGCCAACGAGGCAGTCATACCAACAAGGCAGACAGAATATAAAGAAATGTTCTGTAACGTCAGCCATCGTCATTTTGATGCATTATTTAGAAAAGTGTTTGTTACACTTAGGAGAAGGTTTTATTAAACTACCCGACTGCAAAAAAGAGGGTACTGAAGTCGGTTTATTAGACGTACTTTATAAAGGAATTATTGTATAGTAGGTATATGTTATTTAATTATATATGCTATTAATTACTGCTTGTTAGATATGTACTTTATATTCTTATTAACTATTATTAAGTTCCGCTCGGTTCCTCCCGCTGCTCGGCTCTTATTGAGCTTAGCGTTATGTTTGATGACCTGCAACCTTCCTCGATGAATTAATCATCCAATAAAAAAATATTTTTCCCGGAGATGAGCACATCGTGTATACCATAGTGCATATATATATACATACTATACATGTGTGTACCATATGACGATTAAGTTAAATCGATCCAACTTTTGACACGATCGTTATTAAACTAATAAGAGTTTATTAGTAAATAATAAAATTTTATTGTTATTAATATATACAATAATATTATTACAGAAAATGATCCATTTCCCGAATTTGTAGAAATTACCGGTGAGTGAGTAAAAATGAATAAAACAATACTATAGGGGTGCTTCAACTAACGATAACTGCACCATCGCTTATCACTAAATGAGATAGTGGCCTAACACCAACCCATCTGTATATATAAAAATATAATTATATAATGATCCATATATCCCTTGGTCACGCCATCGCCCGTGACGGCTGTACCGATTTCACTATTTTTTAATCGACTTCTTTTTTACTGTGTTTATTGTCAAGCGAAGGTTTTTAAGACGGGATAAAAAATCCTGAAAATACCACGGGAGCATGAGACAATGGGATTGCGCGTACGAAGTCGCGGGCAAACTAGTTACTAAAAACGAGAGAGCATGCCTTATTTCGGCTATGGAGCAAGAGCCCGTACCCCAGACCTACGTGTGACGACCTACTGTCTGGGGTTCACGGGCTCCTGATTTACGGCCGTTCCCAATATTCTATCTATCCCTTGTTTTGCCCTACTGGAGATAGAAAAATCTATCTATCTTTAAATTTGCCGTCTCAATAAACTTACTGGCGATAGGCAAACTAATCTATGGTTGTCATTACCTGTGGGAGGACGGATAGGTTATCTACAGATTGCTTTTACTATGAAATTGACAGTTCACGCGCTGTTGTTGTAGTTGTTGCTCTCGTTCCCTGTGACAGGGTCTACCGAGAACTCGATACTCACATTTTACAGTAAGCAAATGCAAAACGTACAAATAATAATTGATATTGAAAGATACCATATTTTTTACAACAGAAGCTGAAGATCACGATAAAGTTTACGTATCGAATGGTAAGTTAAAATAAATAACTAAACTTGTTTTTACTTGTGACCTGATTCTTACTTTATTTTTTGGCATGGACTGGTCCATGTATATGTCTATGAGCTTGATGTTAAAATATAAATATTAAGAAAAATAATAAATATACCATTGTTATTAATTTTACAGAAACATTTTATGCTGATCTGCTCACGAGTCCTAACCATCATCATACTAAACATTCTTCTAAAAGTGATCGTTTTAAAAACTATGACAAAAAGAGTAAGTGAGCTTAAGCTCAATCTTTGCGAATATCATCACTCCGGCTGTCACTGGCTACCGTCCGACTGACAGTGGACACAGTCATATGCCTAAACGCAGTTTAGACTTCGTTTATAATGATTATTAGTTAATAATGACATAGATTGAAAAGGGGTGGTACGACGATTTGGACATGTAGAAAGGATGAATAAAAGTAGATTTACGAAAGAAGTTTACAGAGTGGGTATGAATGGGACCGTTGGTAGAGGACGTCCTAGACAGACATATATCGATTAGATTGACGATATATTAAAGAAGGGCCAAATTAAAAGTACCTTTAACCGAAGAGCAAGCATGGAAAGACTGAAGACTAATGAGAAGCGAAAGAGGTCTGTGCCTATCCCCATGGGAGACAGTGCGTAAGGTTATATATGTATGTAGTAAATAACTGAATAATACTAATACTGAATTGATAATTAATAAAATTTATTTAATCTGGAACTCGTCAATTGTAACTAAGTAATAATTATTGCATGCCTTGATTGGTGGAACATGATGAACTGCGCATTCATCTAACATCTTGCAATGCAGATATGTAATAAGTTCAGCAATAAATATATCTCAATTAGAAAAAAAAAAAAAAAAACTACCATTGTTTTTTATAGAAACATAATTTTTACAGGTAATCGTCTTCGTCATAAACACCGTCACAGACACCATAAACACAGTAAGTTTAAAGTAATAAACTAACTTTTGCTCGTGGCTTGATGCATTGCTTTTTGGCATAGGTCATGCTACTGGATAATACCTTTGCATGTCTAAGCACGCCATTGAGGTCGATCTCCAACCCTTCGCGATCCACAACTGCCAGTCACTTTGTGGATATTTGCCTATAATTGCGATTAGTCCAATGACATACAGTTTGGACATAATAGCATAACATAACATCACGCCTTTTTATCCCCGAAGGGGTAGGCAAAGGTGCACATTACGGCACTTAATGCCACTGTACAATGTAACACCCACTTTTCACTATTTATGTTATGAGTCCCATGTAGGGGGTGAGCCTATTGCCATATACCGGGCACATTTCCAGACTCCGTGCTACTACTGAGATTTTTAAAAACCCAGTAATACTTTGCCCGACCCGGGAATCGAACCTGAGACCCCTTGCCCGGCAGTCGCACTTGCGACCACTCGGCCAACGAGGCAGAGTTTGGATATAATAGGTTTTGAATATTTTACAGATACGTTACGAATGAGCGAACAGGACCTCCTTGGTGGTGAGAATAGGAAATGTAAAGTCGGTGAGAGGTTCAGATTAGGCGCCTGTAATTATTGCTACTGCAATGAACATGGTGTCCGCGTATGTTCCCGACACAACTGCAAAAATTACAGTAAGTTTGAAGTCTTATTAAATAGCCTACAAAATTCCTATTGAATAGCCTACAAAAATATCCTTGAACTTCTTGAAGAAGTCGCTAATCTAATCACAAATAGCCTACAAGTTTTATAAAATAGCCTACAAACTTTGAAGAGCCAAACTTTTGTTTTTAAACAAGTTTTTGCGGTGGTTGTGTAACTGGCTACCGAAAATTTCGAATTTAGAACTCAAAATAACCAGGTCAAGTCGTGTAAACAGTTTTTAAAAGACTGATATCAACATTTTTTTAATTTATTAAATATATCTTTTTGCAGAATCCGCTGTTAATAAGACAGAGTATTCACGTATGTTTTTTTTTTATAAGTAGAGTAATTTTTCTCAAGGTACCAGTGAATTTTTATTGTCGTATCGTACTGTACTTAACACGAAGCCTTCACCATAGAGCTACTGCAATAATTTAATAATTGCAATAATTTTAAAATGATGTCCTTTTCGTTGCCCCACACTAGGATTTTCTCCTGTGTCGTGGGTGCGTTTACAAACATACAAGTCCACATACACATGACAGCCAGACCCGGAACAACAAGCTGTAACTGTAGTTCAATACATAACACAAATATGATTAATTTATTCAAATATTAAAAGTCACGATATCGAAACTCTGGCAGTATCCCAGCAGTTACAAGAAACTGGAGAAAATAGCTGAAGAAACGAAAACTAATACCATTTCTTCATATCCAATGGGATCTAAAAACAACTGTCTTTTTCTAGTTACTCGTTATTAGTAGGAAGCTAGTATAAATATTAAAGTAGGTAGGTAGGTAGGTGTAAATAAAACAGAATTGGAGCCAAAATTGTTTACAATTTTCAGCCAAGCAGTACAAAGAAGAACTATGCAAGATTGGATACAGATTCAGACTGGATAAATGCAACTACTGCTACTGCAACGAACATCGTAAACTCATATGTTCAAAGCACAAATGTGCAGGCAGTATCCCACGTAAGTCTTTTATATTAATCATAGCCATAAGAACCTAACGGGTAACCGAGGCTCCGGCTCGACGTGCAGGAGAAGGAACGGGGTGGTTTTTAGTTAGTAAGAGTCTGACACTCCCTCCCGCCTCACCCAGGCGGGAGCAGTCATTCGATGATTTTACCCCTTAAAGAAAAAAATACATATGATTTACTTGACTCAAAGTCCTATGTCCCCTAGATGAGGCAGGGGACGTTCACAGACGTTTTACCATCGCGACTGGTCTACAACTTCACATTCCCACGTCATACCGATGCCCCCAACTTCTGCCGATATGGTGCGACGTTAAGTCTGGCGTAGACTTTCACGTTTCCTTTTCCCTTGGGGATTCCAGTTTTGTCCTAAAACTGACACCAGCTACCAAATAACCAGAAGTGCCAGGAGTGGAACAGCTAGTACTAACTTTAACAACAATTTTTTTTAGCTCCTTCCTATTTGCGGTCAATATTTGACATGGACTGTGAAGTGGGACATGTTCTGGTTGACAGTTGCATAATCTGCACCTGTACTGAAAACAAAACATACGTTTGCGTCACAGAAAATAAAGATGAATGCGAACCACTTGGTAATTTTACGTGTTTTTGTTTAACTTGCAATGTATATTTGTATGATTGTATGTATGTGTGTATGTGCGTGAAGTAAAATCTTGCAACTAAATATTGAAGCAGATATCCTCAACTAATCGGTTAAAGATATGAACATAATTAAAGATATGAAGACTTATTTAAAGTTAAAGATATGAATATAAAAATGATTTAGCTCAAAAGCTTGTAGCAAGTTTGAAGTAAACCTACTTATATGTCTATTTTTTTACATAATATGAAACACATTTTACACTTAAAATCATCTCTTGAATCGTTGACACACAAATTGCAAATACACCAAAATTCGGAACAACAATTTGTGCATCACATTCTGTGGATTAGTTCTATGCGGGAATCGAACCGAAAAGAACTTACTTATAAAAAAACTAATAAATAGTGGTGATTGGAAAGGCACGTCACTTGAGGAAAGCACGCAATCTACAAATGAGAATAGACGACTTGCAAAATACTTGCATCTTGGTCAATGAACTTACAACTGTCCACGAAGCGGCATCGTTAAATCCGCCTATCATCGTGGACAATAGGTCTTAACCAACATAGCACAAATCGAAACTCGTTAGGCATGCAGAATTAACTAAAAATAATGGTATACTCACATGAATATGCTGAGAAAAACTCTACTAGCTCTAGTACACATGGCTACACATCGAGCTTTACATAACCAGTATAAATTGAACGTTAAATGTGCGGAAAGACGATGCGACGCGACACCAGGATAATCTGGTTTTGTATAGGTTGATGAGTGGCCGTGTGTACAGTCAAAGGTCATAAATCCACTGCCACCACACTGAGTGATGTTCACCCGGCAATGCGTAAGTAATTTTATATTAATGTGCATAAAAACGCGTGCAGTAGACTTACGGTGGCAGTGGACTTTTGACCTTCGACCGTACAACACCGCGACCGCGCTTGCTGCTCATGAGGAAGGGTACCTCTGTGATTTTATAATAACTATCGTGAGACATACTAAATTAACTAAAAATCACGGGTTGCTCACGTGAATATACGGAGATAAGCTCTACTAGCTTCGAACCACAGAGGGGTTCTTCCTCATGAGCAGCGTGCGCGGTCGCGGTGATGTCACACATCCTACTGATTAGCGTTGGCGCTCGCATCGGTGTTATTACTTGCGCTGCAAACCATTATCGTGACTCGGAACTAGTAAAGCTTTTCTCAATATATATATATTTAAGTGAGTAAAATTTCACTTGAGAAAACCTTTTTTTTTAATTATTCAGAGATCCTTTCCTTTGCGTAGTGTAGTTCATACGTTATTTAGACACGTAAACCAAACCGTTTGTTTATTTTTATGTATATAAAAGTATTACCCATGTTTATTTATTTTCGGAGAAGAAGAATTGTCCTTGCTGAAAATATTATATCTACTGCCTAAAATACTAACTTTCCGACTACTTTACATGACTGTTTATTGCTACAATACTAACCCAACCTAACCTAAAACGTCTGTTGTCGGTAACTTAGTAATTTTTTCGGAGGTTCAATATTCTATTCGGAAGTTTAGTTTTGTTATTCGAAGATCCATTTTTATAGTCGGCCACAGATCACTGGAGATTAATTGGTTTTTCGGAACTATTATTATTTAACTTTATTTTCCTTTCAGATATTTCACAAAGAATATATTCAGACGATGACGATGACGTCTGTTTCAACGGCACTAAACGACCAATAAACTCTTGCAACTATTGCTATTGTAGAGATGGAATCGAATTTTGTACCCTAAAGCCCTGCTGGAATAATATACAGAGTACGTATATAGATAGAGTTGTATATTATACTGGTGGGTGTCTTAAACCCATATCAACTTTAAGCGCTATATTTCTTGCAGATTCCAAGTGAATATACCTGTACCTCTACCATGAATTTAAATTTTAAAGTAATTACTATAATTCGATACTCGATAGCGACTAACCGTAAATTTTTGGAAAAGTAATTTTAGTTCCAAAACTGTGCGCTAGAGGCGCTGCTGTACAAGATGTCACACTCTACGGCATCGCTATCGAGTGTCAACAAATACTTTTAGATTGAGCTACTATGAGAGTAGCGGAACTATGTAATATTCTTATCATACATGTTTTGTCCTAATAGTAACAAACACGACAAACAAACCTAGACCCATCGAAGCTGCTAAGCAAATGACACTGTCCATTACTATCCTCCTTTACCATAACATAACATAACATCACGCCTTTTATTCCCGAAGGGATAGGCAGAGGTGCACATTATGCCACTGTACCTACAATGTAACACCCACTTTTTAATTATGTTATGAGTCCCATGTAATAGGGGGTGAGCCTATTGCCATATACCGGGCACAATTCCTGACACCGTGCTACTACTGAGATTTTTTTAAAAACGCAGTAATACTTTGCCCGACCCGGGAATCGAACCCGGGATCCCTTGCCTAGCAGTCGCACTTGCGACCATTCGGCCAACGAGGCAGTCACATTCTTTGTATTCTTCCTTTATCATATTCATTCTATTAATAATACATTAAGCCGTACCCACGATAGCGCGGCGCGTTACATCTGCGATGAGCGGAAAAAACAATAGCATGATTATTGAACGCAGGAGAAAGAAAGAAAAATTGTTTATTTGCACACCGTCACAATGTACAATAACACACAAAAAAAATTAATACAGTGAAGACGGCGCAAAAAGACCTGAGGGCCAAGCACGAATAACTATCGCATTCGTAAAGTAATAGTATCGAGTGCGTTCGGCGCTCTGATTGGCCGGCTCAAGTGAACCAACCAATCAGAATACCAAGCACGAATAACTATCGCATTCGTAACGTAATAGTATCGAGTGCGTTCGGCGCTCTGATTGGCTGGCTCAAGTGAACCAACCAATCAGAACGCTTAACTTGCTCGATACTGTTACGATACGAATGCGATAGTTATTCGTGCTTGGCCCTCTGAGCTCAGCTTAAATGCCATGACCCGAGTACGCTCGAGTCTCGACGACGTCGACGCGAAAAGCGGCCGTTCAAACCGCATGATTGTTTTTTGTTTTTTCACTCATCACAGACGTAGGACACGTCACGCTAGCGCAGGTACAAGTACAGCGTTACATATTTTAAACTGTCAAACACCGCGAGGACACCGGTGACGGCAACCTATTGTTCTATAATTGTGTCTATAATGACGGTACTCAAAAGGTTAATTATTTATTCATACAGCTCCCTACATATTCATGGAGCCAGAATGCGACGAAGACACACCCATACCCAGTCCTGATCCCTGCAACACATGCATCTGTATAGACTCAGATATACTCTGCACAAATATACCCTGCCCACTACACACAAGAACATCAGGTATTTACGCCATAAGCCAGTTGTTAATTCTAAAAAAATATACAGTGTGAGTCTTTATAAAGTGCACATATTGAAAAGGGTGAAAAAATAAACAATTTTATCGACGGAAAAAATGTCAAAAAAATCTAAAAAAAAATGAATTTTTTATGGGCTTTTAAGTTTTTTTATCAGAGATTTAAACCTGTCCAGTTAGTTTATGAGGTACTTACTCACCTATGAAAGAAGTGCGCGCAGACTGTGTCTTTCACAAAAAATATTGGGAATATAGTTAAATTCGCTTAAAATTTAACATATCAACATAGCTGCATGTACATGCTGGAATAACCTAGTGCCATTTTAGAACAGATATTTCCAAAAACTAAATCTTTTCTGCCATTTTTATACACACATAACATCACGCTTTTTATCCCCGAAGGGGTGGGCAGAGGTGCACATTATGCCACTGTTTTCACTATTTATGTTATGAGTCCCATGTAATAGGGGTGAAATCGAACCCGAGACCCCTTGCCGCACTTGCGATCACTCGGCCAACGAGGCAGCCATTTTTATATTTGCTTTAATTTAACACCGATAATAAATTCTATATGTAATATGAAAGAGGCCAAGAGTTTTGTAATGGACACAGTTTTATTTATTTTATCTTTAATACACCAAACATTGCCAACCAACAAGCCCTAACTTATTTAAAAGCATTTTTATATGTACCTAAATACAATTTGGATCAGAGGGCTTACTATCAATTTGATTTACGTTTAACGGTTTTACTATCAGTTTGATTGGTTGGTTCATTGAGGCAGGCCAATCAGAACGCTGAACGAATCGAAAAACAAACTGATACTAAGTCCTATGGGCATATAGTAGTATCAGCCACAGAAAATATAAATATTTAATTTTTTGTGATAACAGCCACTAAAATGGTTTTCCTTGCCCGCAGACGTCTCAGTAATGAATCACCAAAATTGTGTTGACGGACAAGTATATTCAATAAATTATGGATGCAACGACCTCTGTGTCTGTATGAAAGGAAAAGTTATTTGCACTAAAAAACGTTGTTTTGACGTACTTAGAAGTAAGTATTTGGTCAAAGTCGCAGAAATCATCATAAATAGGCTTTTTGACAATGCGAAAAATAAAACGTCAATTATTGTTTACAGTTTAAATTAAGAGTTAAAAAATGATTATTTAGTAACATAAGTTGAAAATAATGATGAATTTATTTAAAAATCCGTAAATAAAAATTGCATTTTTTAATTGTTTGTCACGTGACACAAAACGCTCCTGCTTGGTCAAGTTTATCATGACGCCACCTGCTTGTAAATACAAAACAAATATATATGCCAGCTGTCACAGATAAGAATATGGGCAACAGGCAAGTGACGTCACCGACCTCATTGCAGCGCCATTTTGTCAAAGTAGCATTTTGACACACTATTTAAATATTGAATTTTTAATTCGATGTTTTTCAGCTAATATATACCGGAATAAAAAAAAACAAACAAACTTTTACTGTGTTCCTTAGACTCTACTACATAATATAAAATAGATTTTAAAAACCTGTCAAATAGCCTATTACCCATTTCCTCATTAGCTACAATCATCATTCTATGAATGCCCACAGCTAAGCAGAAGCTGCCTCTTACACTGAGAAGGAATCAGCATTAACCGCTTGCATGATAATAATATGAGACACATTGAATTAGAAAATATATTGTCTCGCGCGGTTCTGCTTTTGCTTGGCGATTTTAAACATATAACTAATTGGCAATTATAAGTCCTTTTTTTGAGGGGGGAAAATCAACCAATGCCTTCTCCCGCCCGGAGGCGAAATTATAAATCCTTACGATGTTTTCCTTCACCGTAACCTGCATATAAACCTTATAGCATACTTTCCCTGACACTTTTTAAAATCAAATATAATACTGCAGGAGGCAGTGTAAAATTGGTACTATACCTCTTTTATTTTGATGCACAGCGAGGGCGACTGGGATGCTGTCTCCTCCTTTTGCGAAGCAGTTATGCTAGCTAAGGAGGAGGCGGGACGCGTGAGGCAGCGAAGCGCTGCCTCCTCGCAACCCAGCTATCGCGAAGGACACACCGGGCGTCGGGGATCGCAGGACGATCTCCGGCCACCGTAAGCGCGGGCCTGCGGACGGCGAGCATGCGTGGCTCCCCGTCCGACCAAAAACAGACCCGAGCGTACGGCGCGTCGCGTTCCGCGCGCGCCTCAAAGAGCCATCAGACCACCACAGATGGGGCCCAATAGGGCCGATGCCGATTCGGAGTCGCGGAGAACCTAACGGGTAACCGGGGCTCCGGCTCGACGTGCAGGAGAAGGAACGGGGTAGTTTTTAGTCAGTAAGAGTCTGACACTCCCTTCCGCCTCACCCAGGCGGGAGCAGACATTCGATGATTTTCCCCCCTTAAAAAAAAACCTTTTATTTTCCAGGTGGTCTAACAGAATTAGAAATAGTCCGTTCATTACTACAGTCAGATTATAGTCAATCACAAATGACACAGCCGGCGCCAGGGTCTGGCTGCAGACAAAATAAACTTTACCGACCCGAAGATGATGATCCTGATTGCCCTAATGTATGTATATGCGATGGAAACGAGTTGTTATGTACACGCCGAAAATGTGACAAAAAAGTTTCTACATTTATCAAAGCTAAAAGTAAGTTTAAATTACGTACATATTAAGTTAAAAGTGCATTGCGTGCTCTTAGAGGTTAGGAATTTGAGGATTGCTGCTGATTCAGGTTTTGTTAAACCTGAATCTGAACCGGATTGGGGAGGAAGGTAATTGGGCCTCCGGTAACCTCACTCACACAAAGAAACACAACGCGAGTGTTGCTCCACAATGGTTTTCTGTGAGGTATCACTCCAGTCGAGCTGGCCCATTTGTGCCGAAGTCTCCCACACTCAATTCTGAATTCAGCTTCTTTATGTATCTGTTTACTTTGTAATGCTCGGTAAATTGTTTGGAGTTACGCAAATTCTATCATTCCTGCTGTCCCAAATCATTTATGGGCTGTGCTAATGTATATATTTTTTTACAGCTGGTTTCCAAGCACTTCGAGGGTCATTGAAACGACACATTTGCAATGACTATGAGCAGATTCCGACTGATTCACCTTGCCTCATCTGCGTGTGTTTTAATGGTGGACCAGTTTGTACACCAGCAGACTGTGCTCTAGATCCAAAAATTAATTATGACAGTGATGAAGAGAGCGAGGAATTTAAAAAAATTGTTAGAGGTATAACAACACGCCTCATTTAACAGGAGGAACTTAAGTTAGTGCAATGTTATAGCAATAAACTGGTCAAATGGCCGAATACTAAAACGCTACTCAAATTTAAGTCGCATTTAAATATAGTTCTGTCACTACATTTTCTTTATAAAATGACAGAGATGGCACGATATTTAAATACAACTTTAAATTGAGTATCCTTTCCATATTCGGTTATAAGTGCTATGTATATTGAAATAAAATTGTTATCCTTTAACTGTTTCTCAGATCTTATGACCTATAATGCAGACGGGAACATAAACCCATTCTATTGTGGCTGAGCTATTTTTACATCGATTTCAAAGATACAATAATCGCCAGAGAACATAAACAAAATGAAGATAATACCTCTACAATATTTAAACACTTATATTTTATTCTGTTATTCAGAATTCGTTGGAACGGAGAGCAAATCTATTAGACCTGGGAAGGATAGTACATTCTGCGAACCTTTTACGTTCTTCAGTCCCGACGGTAATAGGTTCTGTAGGAGCTGTTTCTGTTTACACAACGGACTCGCTTTATGTTTATTGAGTATATGCAAGTATCATAGAGGTTAGTAACTTCCTTATCGATTAAACGCAATGCATTAAATTAAACCGAGGGATATAGAAAGAGTAGTCATAGTGGCCCGGAGGTTTAAGACCCTCTTCTCATGTATGAGGGTATGGGTTCGAAACCTACCTAACGGCAAGTACCAATGTGACTCTTTCCGGTTATATGTACTTTCTAAAATTATATAGACACCACTGACAAACGGTGAAGGAAAACATCGTGAGGAAACCTGGAGTTATAATTTCTAATTATAAGTTTGTAATTATAAGTATAATTATAATTGTAATCGCCAACTCGCATTGAGGAAGCGTGGTGATTAATGCTCAAATTTTCTCCGTGTGAGAAGAGGCTTTGCTCAACAGTGGGAATTTATAGGCTGTTGATGAATGAATGATATAGAAAGTATTGTATTTTTCTTTTCCTCTAATGTTATTATTAAATAACATCTGATTTATTTCGTTGAGGTATCTGAGACAGTTATTCATGTCCCTGGGACGAGCCGGGCTTTATGGTTATATGGTTTCATGGTTGTATCTACTCTAGATTCTGGTCTACAGGAGTTCTAGCTGTATTGTGAGATTTTGGTGGAACTGTTCCAAAAAAAAACATATTGCAACTGCTTCACTAATTTAAGGTCAGCCATGGAACTATGCCCGAAGTCCCTCTGAAGAACCGAATCAGAAATGGGACGATGTAACAGAAAAATAAATGCACCATCTCGGGTTCTCTTCACCTGATTAGTCGCCGATGTCTTGGTGGACCAATCCAGTGTAGAGCATAGAGAGTGTTGTGTGCATTATGGAATGCTTGGTTTTTTTTTTTCGATAATAAGCAGTAGGTATGTAAAAAACTAATTGTTACATGAACAACCTATGTTATTTTTTGCAGATGACCACAAACCCATCGTCCGTAAGTTTCTTGTTGTCAGTGTCACACTTTTTATTTAGTAGCCTGAAAACCTTACTTGACATATCCAATATTAAATGAATTAAGTTAAATAAATAACATAACTAAACATCCAGGCTGCTGGTATGATTTAAAAATATTTTATGCTTATATGATGAAACACCAAAAAGTCTAAACCGTTTAAATGTATTAAAAGATGTCCTTTACATAGAACTGCATAATTTCTGTTAACTATTCTGATTGCAAACAGACCTAGACCTACAGAAATCATGCGTGCCTGGTGATGTGACGCGTCCACACAGGTGCGTCTATTGTACTTGTTCTTCAAAGGCGGTTTGGTTCTGCCAAAAAGAAGATGAGTCTATGTGTCACGGTAAGGAATTCACCAGGTTGTTATACCATTTACTATACTTATAAACCGTGCCATGTAGTAACGGCAGAGTATTTGTCTCTACTCTTTCCCTGTGGGGTGTCGTTAGATCCAAGTAAGGCTAAGGAATCACGGCGCGATTTTCTACCGCGTCCGGCGCGTTTGCGGGCCCGCAGCCTTTGTAGAATACAGATATGTATCTATCCTTTTATCTGTTGAAACATCGGGTCCCGGTATAAAACATATTATACCCGCAACTTTCAACAGACAAGAGGCTATGCTAAAAAATCAAAGCAATTTTCACGGCGTGTTTTACGCCCGCGGATGCTGCCATTATTTGCGGCTCCCGCTTCAACGGCGGGCGCGAGCGGTCGCGGTCCCGCAGCCGCGGTGGTTAACACCCTGAGAACGGTTGACGGGCGATCGAAATGGGACAGCCGGTTTGGAACTCGACTTATTGTGTAACCGCCCGCCCGTCTTGCGATAATCAACCGCCAAGTTTGCGGGCGATAATCGCAACCGCGGGCGGCTGCGGGATCGCAGAAAACTGCGGCCTCGTGAGTTTTGAAAATTCTGCCTCCATTCCGCTACCGCGGCGGGCGTGGGAGAACATCGCGCCGTGAGTCCTTAGCTAAAGCGACTGCACATTAAATAAAAACTGAGCTACAATTTCCAATACGCCTAAGTACTACACTAGATAGGTATGACTTCTCAACTCGACTGAGTATTATTATTAATATTATGTGAAGATAAAAAAGTTGACTGACTTCTGTACTATCACATACCATAGTTAATCTTCATAACCACGTGTCGACGGAAGCCGTTGGCCTCTACCGTTTGGTAATGGAACGGAAAGCCGTTCATGTGTCCCATAAAAAACTAAATTGCACATGTAATTCGAAAAAAAAAAGAATAAAATACATATTCATATTGTTTGTAATCGTTGTATGTAGAAACGGACTGTGATGATAGCGACGAGTTTCACATGGGGTTCTCACCGTACTGTGCTGAGTGCAAATGTGCCTCGAAACAAAGATATTGCGCCATAGAGGCTAAATCATGTCCAGGTACGTTGTCTTTATAAATAGTTCTTGTCTAAAGCTTTGTTTCACATACAATAACTTGAGTCCTTTTCTGTAAGTCTCGTTCGTCAAGAATGAAGAGTATAATAAATGTAGGAGTATAGAGTGTAAAGAAGTAACAAACAATTTCACTTTCGAATTTATAAATATTATTAGTTCAGATTCCTTTTTAAAAGGCCGGCAACGCAGCTGTGGCTCCTCTGGTTTTGCAGGTGTCCAAGTGCGGCGCTGATCGCTCACCAGCAGGTGATCCGTCTGCTCGTTTGCCTCCTATTCCATAAAAAAGATTGTCTAATAATTTCATTAATTAATTTAGAAAAATATAGCTTAACACGTTAAACACCATGGGGGTCACCGGTGACCGGCGTTAGCGGAGGATTTATATAACATAACATCACGCCTTTTATCCCCGAAGGGGTAGGCAGAGGTGCACACAGAAGCAACACCCACTTTCCACTATTTATGTTATGAGTCCGATGTAATAGGGGGTGAGCTTATTGCCATATACCGGGCACAATTTCAGACTCCGTGCTATTACTGAGATTTTTTAAAAACCCAGTAATACTTTGCCTGACCCGGGAATTGAACCCGAGACCCCTTGCCCGGCAGTCGCACTTGCGACCACACGGCCAACGAGGCAGTCTTATCAACTTAATTTGACTTTAATTTTAAAAAATATAGCTTAAATTAAACTGCTTTTATTTTATCTTTCAGATTATAGTAAGTATGTTTACGATTTCTTATTTTAACTGAATAGTTTAGAATGCAAGTACTTGTACTGATACAAGAGATTTTATAAGCTGAGCCAACCCAAGACTCAACCAACGAGACAGTCGTTAAATTAGCTTAATTATAATTTAGGAGCGGTTTGTGAAAAGAGGAACATACTTGACCATTTTGATAACATTTGCAGGTGACGTAAAATGTCCTATAGGTACAATAATCCAAAATCCAAGGCAGTTCTGTAGTATCTGCGTGTGTGGGGGTTATGACGATGGCGCGCAAAATATGTGCTTTACCGAAGCTAAGTGCGTACAGCAAGTAATCAATCATTACAATAAATAAAATATTTTTGCGTTAAGTTAAATAAATCAATGATTTGTAATAAAGTACATTGGTTTTTAATTTTACTGTATTGGTCTAGAGATATATACATATATTACTAGCGGCTCCGACAGACGTTGTCCTGCATATAATATAATAATAATATGTTAATTATAGATAAATAACCTAGATATCGACTGCAGCGCCATCTGCCGGGCTGATTTACAACAAGTCGCATTACCTTTAAATTTAAAGTCCGTGAGCATTTACTCAAGCATTGGCAGACTCAAAACAATTGAGGAAACTATTCTGACAACGTTTTCTTTTTTTTATATAATATATTGTAGTATTTATGCAGTATAAGTATTTGTTTAGTAGTATATATTATAATTATGGTATGTATATGTTTATACAGATTTATAAAATATTGTATTAATATATTTATTCTATAGGTATTTATGTGTGTAGTATACATATTACATAACTTTTTTTATTTTTTCAATTGTGTTCTGGCTTCGCATCAACCACTTCATTTCTCTGCACTTCCCTATGGTTGACTGTAAGAGAATGCCTTAAGGCATTAAGTCCACCATTCACTGTATTTTGTGAGGAAGATTAAATAAATAAAATAAATAAATAAATAAATAATTGGCTGAACCGACTCTGATGCGGTTTTCAGATAAGTGTCTGTTACCATTTTTTCGAGCAGGAAAATCATCCAATGACTTCTCTCGCCCGGGTGAAGCGAGACGGAGTGTCAGACTCTTCTTTTTTTTAATAGGGGATAATCATCGAATGACTTCTCCCGCTTGGGTGAGGCGAGAGGGACTGTTAGACTCTTACTGAGTAAAAACCACCCCGTTCCTACTCCTGCATTTCGAGCCGGAGCTCCAGTAACCTTTTAAGTCCTCTGCGGCTCCGTATCGACACAGCCCTATCTGTGGTTGTCTGATGGATCTTTGTGGCGCGCATGGAACGCGCGACACGCCGTTTGTTACTATATTAATTAACCGATCTTCAAAACCCGTCTTTTAATCGGTCTATGTCGTAGGTGCGTTTACAAACATACAATTTCACATACACATGACACACAGACCCGGAACAACAATTTGTGGTTCAGACAAAGAGTAGCTCCGTGCGGGAATTGAACCCGTGGCGTGGGAGCCCGTTGCCCAGTCATTGGTAAATGAAAGTAGCACAAAGGTGAATCGTGGCCATCTCTTGGAGTGAGCATTATATCATTTACAGATTTCTTTTAAAATAAGCGATGATAAATTTGATTATAGGATGAGCCATCGGCATAACTCTATACATCAAAAAATGAAATGTACTAATATTAAAACCCAACAAAGAAATCGCCTTCGAGATTTCCAACCACTTGCTCAATGGAATAGTTTTATAAAGTAAACGTTAGAGTTATTAGTTCCCTTTAATTCCGCGAGCGCTGTCGTCATTCAAAGTTGAGAACACCTGTGACTGTTTCATTAAATGGATGCCATTGTTCGTCACTTTATTCAAACCTGGCTTAATTTTTTGTGTAACTTAATATTTTAAAGTTTTTCAAGCAATCTACTATTGTTACCCACATTAGAATAGAAAGACAAATCTTACTCTCTTACTAATATTATAAATATGAAATTTTGTGAGTTTGTGTGTATGTGTGTATGTATGTTTGTATGTTTGTATGTTTGTTACTCAATCACGTCAAAACGACTGAAAGGATCGAGACGAAATTTGGAAAAAGGATAGATTTTGGTTTGGAATAACACATAGGCTACTTTTTATCCGACAGGATGAATGATGATTAGTTGTTGTTCCTAAAATATAGATATGCTCAGTAAATGATAATTTCTTAGTTCATTTAGTATGTCTCATAATATTTACTATAAGAACTCAGTAAGTAGTGATAAATGAGACAACATATTATGGGATTACCAAACCAAAAAATGAAAGGAAAAAAACATATATTTTCCAAAAATCCAAAGTCGACTAGTGTTGCCCAATTTGTCTGCACTTTACCATTATATGTATCACTGTGCACTAAAAATGTATATGGTAGTGAGCACCGCAATGCGTTTCCCACTGCTGTCGTGGCGTCCACTGGACAAAAATTTATATTTATTTGTTACATCTGCTACCGTTTGCCAAGTTAACACTAAGCCCTCGGGTTTTCCCGTATACTTTCTTTTACTTTAGATATAAATGTAGTTTATCTTTAAATAGAAAATGTTGTATTTCCACTTTCAAACAAGTTCAACAGTTTAATCCTGATATTTATTATGGTACCTAACACAACCTTGGATTCAGGTTCTTCGAGGACCAGCCCATAAATAATTTGGTCACAAAGAGCTCCTTAGGGAACCTGATTGATTAACCACATATGTAGTTTTAAACTAGTTCTTAGTATTTACTTCTGGGTAAAAGCTATAATTTAAATTCAAGCACGAGATACAATCAGCAGCTTTCCATTGTCTCTACCTGTATGTATAAATGTGTGCACAAAAATACAGACAAACGGACCTTATGTTACATATGCGTAGTTTAACACTGCATCCGAGCAAGAATTAAACATTCATTTTTATTACGTTTCAAGGGAACACGGCCAAAGCAAGTGCTTTTATTTTGCAAGCTCGTATATTTTATTTACAAAACTTGCTAGCCATTGCATTGGCTACGTCGTTACTAAATTAAACCTTGATGTGTTTTTATTTTGTTTCAAATTTCCTCTATTATAAGAATAAAATGTATTTCGTTGTTCTCTGCAAGTTGGCTTGGTGGTTTCTGCATCGTCATGCCGGTTTAAAAACTCGAATTTTATTGGGTTTTAAGCTCTAAGTCAGAAGTAAAACTAGAATGTTTACTTTTGACCATAGCAGGCGTAGGTTCTAGAGTTTCGCAGGTACGTTTGTAAACCTGCAATAGACGTTTACATTGTTCCTTAGACTAATAAATTCCAGGTCCGGTTTTGGACCCAGATCAACAATCTGTAATCGTAGTTAAACACAAAATTGCTTGCGAGATTCAAACCCAAAACACGATGCACCCTAAACTGCTCGAGGTTATTAAATAAAAAAAATCAATAATTTCCTTTTTCGTTTTATACCTATTACATAAAATATTATTATATTTTTTACAATTAGCATCTAAAAGACACGTGTGAATATATTTTAATGGGTATATAGCTATGTACATAAAAATACAAATACTTCGCTTTTAAACTGAGAAAGCATACAGGCATACTTGTATTTGATACTTTTAAATTATTGTTGATTCCTTACAACCTTTTCTGGATGGAAACGAAGAGGAACCGAAGAAAAGAAGAATCGTATGGTAGGAACGATACAAAAGAAAAAGAAGTAGTTAATAAGTAAACACTTATACAGACTGGGACGGCATGGCAAGAGATTGAAATGTTTGCTAATGGACATTCAAACGTATTGATATAAAAAACAATATAAATTGCTCTGCTTTATAAATGACGCTATGGCGTGGAAAAAGATTTCCTTCACGCAAAGGGTTCCCGCGGCGAGATGCCCTGGCATATCGCAGTAGGCAACGACACAGGACCCCGACACTCGTTGTTAGATACCGCAGGGTGACGATAAAATCCCTTGCCATGCCGTCCGCCGGTCAGTCATGAAGATTGAAAAGACAAAAGAAAAAAATGGACGCATGTTATGTAGCGTCGATGCAAAGTAATAAATACTTGATTACTTAAATTAAAAAATCCTATTGTCCACGTCAACCGCACTTCATACATTGATTACAAGCTGAATAATTCCATATTTGTAGGTTACACGCATTCGTCACATGACGCGTCGTGTATACTAGGCCTAACTTGACATAACGGTACGAACATGACAACAATGACTTAATATTAGACATCTTCCTAAAACATTACATTGCTGTAAACTTATGCATGTCGTATAAAAAAATACTTGTATTAATCTCAATGTATAACGATCATTTTCTGTAATCGTTTGTGGGACAGTAAGGTTCTCCGTTATCGTCGCAGGAACATTCTACACACGGCATACCACTTGACTTCGGATAAAATTTCGTATTCGGCTTACATTTGCTTGCTCCACCTAGAAACAGTCAACAGGAAGAATTACATCACTTGAGTAATGATCCGATTTTCTAGACCTAACCAATAAGTTTTGAAATATGTTTTTTCTCTTTCTCTTTCTATAATAAATTGAAATAATTCCATTTACTTGCTACGAAACTGTTTGTCGTTGTCTATACAAATACATACAGATAAATAACATTAGAGTATATATTTGTAATATTAAAGTATTTGTATTTTACTACATGCATATGACTATAAATACGATACACATACCAAAATAATATTTTTTTAATTTTTGTTAATCTGTATATCTCTCTGTACTAACTATGGCTCTGAAAAGACTCGGGTGATTTTTTGACGGGATTCATTTGCAGGTAGCTGATATACTAAAGAGTAACATGGGCTACTGATATTTTGCAAAATTACAACAAAAAGAAAGTTATGTCCTAAAATTCATATTCTACGCGGACGAGGTCGTGGGCAATAGCTTATCACTAATATTTAAGAGCTTTGTGAAAAAAGTTAAGTTCTGTGTTTATTAAATTAACAAAACAAAACGCATCTTACCATAAGAATGAACATTACGCATTTCGCACTCTTTCGTCTTGGTACATTCGTGTTTGCCTTTGTCATTACATTTGCAGTCATGACAATCACTGATCCAACTAGTTCCCGGTTTACATGTTTGGTATAAGAAACTCGAATCTGAACATTCTTTAGGCAGTTTTTTGTAGGTATTGTAGTATTGAATAATTTCCTTCGTCTTTTCCTCATCGAAGAACTCTGTGAACACAGCTTGCTAATAAAGTAATCCAGGTAAACCTGTAGCTTAATATACTGAATAAATTATAATAGACCCATTACCTTTCCCTTTATCTATCTCTTCATCCATCGGTGGAACATATCCTGCACAATTTGAACCATCACATTCAGGAATTCCGTCGGCATTACATTCACAAGTATAACATGCGCCCATGTTGAAATGAGTATATGGCTTGCACATCATTGGTTCATCTAGGAAACAGGGTTATTTGCACATTAGATTTCCCAACTACAATACGTTAAGTAATCCAAAATTAAATAATTTAAATAGCGTTACTTACTCAACGGTCTCGGGACGCAATCAGGAATTTGAATACAATACGCGTGGCCTGACTTACAGCTACACTCGTGGCAATTTTTAAGCCATACTGTTCCATCTCCGCATTCTTCTTTTTGATCTTTCAATTTATATTTAAACATATGGTTAGGCTTGTGATTCGAAAATCTTGATTGCATGGGATTGGCATCACCATCACCTTTAAGCATATGGTTAGGCTTGTGATTCGAAAATCTTGATTGCATGGGATTGGCATCACCATCCCCTTTAAACATATGATTAGGCTTGTGATTCGAAAATGTTGATTGCATGGGATCGACATCACCATCACCTTTAAACATATGATTAGGCTTTGGATTCGAAAATCTTGATTTTATGGGCTTGTCATCACCATCACCTTTAAACATATGATTAGGCTTGTGATTCAAAAATGTTGATTGTATGGGCTTGACATCACCATCCTCTTTAAACATATGATTAGGCTTGTGATTCGAAAATGTTGATTGCATGGGATTGACATCACCATCACCTTTAAACATATGATTAGGCTTTGGATTCGAAAATCTTGATTTTATGGGCTTGTCATCACCATCACCTTGACTCGTATTATCTACAGGCAGATTATTTACTAGAGCTAGCAGATCCAATGGATCTGCTTCTTGAAATTCTTGTAATACCTTTAGTAAATCTGGATATTGCGAATGAGGCACAGCTGGTGTGCTTGACTTAAATATAGTATTTATAGTTATTTTATCATCTCCAGGGTACGTCGTTGTTTCTAAAGCTTTTTCTTGAATATTATGTATTAATTTAAATAAATATTCTTCTACTTCATCATTCGTTACATTAATATTTGTTATATTGATGTTCAGTGTAGGTAATTCAGAAAGCATATCATAAATTTTTTGTATATCTACTTCGTCTTCGGGTTTATACTCATTTGCTGTAATTTTTTCCAGCAAAATTACATTTTTTTTTTTACTATTATACAATTTATGGTTTAGTTTGTTAATGTCATCTTGATATTTAGCAAGTATTGACAATAAAACAGGTAAAAAGTCAACTTCGTCTAAACCACTGTCGTCAAATTCGGAATTATTAAGGTTTGGTTTAGTAAGACTTTCAATTAACAATATCAGTGATGGATACAATTTGTTCATATTTTTTGTACCGTTAGCAACTGACAATAAATTCGCTAAAACATTTGAATTTATATGAAGCAATTCGTTTTCCGATTCTGTTGGATTCCAAGCCCTACCATCTTCTAATTCGTTGTGATCATGGTTAAGTTTGGGTCTCGAGGCACTTTCAGATTCATGAATTTTATCTACCTCTTCTGGTGACCATGAATTGTTAAAGAATGGTTTGTATTCGCCTACTTCTGGATTACGATTACGTGGTGAAACCGTTGTTGAAATGTGTGGTTTCCAAGGACTTTTATTTTGGTTTTCAACAGATTTAGATGTGTATGCACCGCCAGATCCATTATCATCAAAATTATAAGGTATTTCCGTTTCACTAATAGGACGTTTTGTGTGGGTTGTATCTTCAGTAGACTCCGATATGTACTCAAATCCGGTATCAAGTCCACGAATATTAAAATCTGGATTATCTGTTGAACTCGTACTAGGGTGTGGATGTTCACTTAAATTATTTGAATGAGTGATATCTTCGAAACTGGGTGGGTAAGTGAAACCTTCAGAGGTATCATCAAGTACATCCGAACTATTTTCTTTGTGAGGTATCTTATATATGTTTTGTGGAGAATTGTGTTCAGGAAGAAAATAATCATCATTTGATACAGGATCATCAAAGTTCCCTGATGTATTTGAATTTTCTTGTAGTGGTGGTGAATGAGGATCACTATATTCTTTAATATTCGGATGTTTTCCACTGTCAGTATATTCTAAACCATTTTCCTTTGAATATGGTTCAAATGGTAGTTGTGGAGGGGTATGTAAATTATCTAGGGTAGGATTATCAATCTCAAAATCGAATGGCTCATTACTGTCAATATTTTTAGATGTTTGTTGGTGCTTTGGTAATTCTAAGTGTTGATTTTTATTTGAGTAGCTATTAAAACTTTGTGGCTCATGCGGATATGGAAGTGAGTCAACCGCTTGTGAAGGAGGTGAATATTGGTGAGCAAACTCAGGCGCAGAATTTCCTGGTATTCCAGATGTAGGTTGATTCAATGTTGGTGGGAATTGTGCGTTAGGTGGATGATTTCCTAGATTTGGCAAATACTCTGAATTCATAGGGTATTGGTAATTATCATAGGTCTTGTGATGGTCCAATAAACCAGGCATAGGGTGAGACTGTTGAGGTGAGGGAGAATCAAAAGCTTCAAAATTGGGGATTGGATATTTATTTTGATTTTTATTATTATGGATTGCTTCTTGGAGATCTGGCCGCTGATGTCGTTGGCCATTTGTATAAATATTGGGATTTTTGTTACCATTATTTTGATGAAGCCTGTGTGGAGAAGTTGGATACTGATTAGGATTTATTCGTGGAGGGTATTGTTCTTGATTGTAGTTGGGAGTTTGGTTTATAAATCCTTTTGGATTTGAAGGACCTAGGGCTTTGAAGGGTAGTGGTAATGGGTGTTGTAAGCCAACATCATTGATATTTTCAGGGCTTGGCTGTAAGTGTAGGGGATGATTAATATTTCTTTCTGGAAGATGAGTGTCCAGAACAGTATTAGCTTGATTTGGGAAACCGTGCGGACGCGGTGTAACACTATCTCTTGGTGCATGATAGTTATATGGAGTTTCAAGATGAGGTTGTGGTTTTTGTATTGATTGTGGTTGATTGGGATTGAAATGCGATGGATTTTTGTGACCCACATGTGGATTGTTATATTTTATCGGAGATTTTTCACCCTTTGCTGATACTGGTAAATTTTGATTTTGTAAAGGATATGGTAAGTTATTAGGTAGTCTATTGTGATGTAAAGGATTTTGATTGGTATTATCGGCATGTAAGAAATTGTCATTTGGCCTGTGATTCCCTGAGCCAGGTAAATGTGTGTTCTGAAAATGTCTCGATGGAGTTGAATGTGGTTTTTTATCAGGATTCACAACTTGTGACGGTTCAAATTTTAACCGTTTTTGGAAATCCTTTTCTATAGGAATTCGACCGGTAACAAAGTTAGTAGGATCAGGGTTCGAAAGAGCTGTTTCCGACTGAGTTGGAGGAAATTTCATTTGAGACTCTGCAGGATATGGTGATTGGCCAAGAACATTTGGATACGAAGCAGTTAGAGGATTAAATTCACTACTTGTGAGATCAGACGTCATTTGGTGACTTCTAGGAGGCACAGCATTTTTATCAACGTATAATTTGTTCATACCACCGGATTGGTTATACTCGTGTACTACAGGCATTGCAGGAGAAACATTATTTTGTTGATAATGGTCTATAAATTCTTGCGCGTCATCGGAAGAGTGATCATTCAATTTTTCATTGCTATAGATTTCTTTTATTTTTGTAACAACTACAGGATTATTTTTAACAGTCGTTTGTTTGTTCGGTATATAGTTAGGTTTATACGAGTCGGGACGATCTTGCAATTTGCCATTTAGGACTGGATCTAATTCTGATAGGTAAGTGATAGGGGCATGTTCTCCGTGTTGAGACTGGTCATAGTGTCTAGGTTTATGAAGTAGTGGAAGTTTTTTGTAGTTTATACTATTGTGATAAACGGGATGAGGTTTTGGACTATAAGTAGGGTGCGTGATCGTATAACTGCTTTTAGGTTCTATTTGGCCAAGACTTGGATTAATATCTGTTGTGTAATGTGATGAATAAAGATTTCTTTCATCATCATTTACATTATTAATCTCATTTAGATGGATTTGAGGAGAATTTGGGGGAAATTTAGTTGTTTGCTTGTATCTGTTATTTAAACTCACTGGTTTACCACGTGAAGGTGGAAAATTCTCGTTACTTGAACCCACCCATGGGAATTGTTTAACCGAATTATTTGATAGATCTCTAGGTCTTTGTTGATTATTTGGCAAAGAAAGAGGCTGTGGGCTTGAGTTAATGTGCGATATATATCTATTTGCTTCAGGATCGATTTGCGTCTTTTGGACTGTCATCTTGGACATGTTTGTATCAAGTTGTTGTACATTGTGGTAACTATCTTTATCTTGCCTTGGTTTGTATCTTGAAGTCAACGAAGTATATGTGGTAACAGGAATGAGATTCGGCTCAGTAAGGCGAGATAATACCTGGTTAGGTAATGTGTGTGTAATGTGTGTGTTTGGTGATGTGAATTGTTTAACCGAATTATTCGATAGATCTCTAGGTCTTTGTTGATTATTTGGGAAAAAAATAGGTTTTGGACTGGTGATAACGTGCGATATATATCTATTTGCTTCAGAATTCATTTGCGTCTTTTGGACTGTCATCTTGGAAATGTTTGTATCAAGATATTGTACATTGTGGTAACTATATCTATCTTGCCTTGGTTTGTGTCTTGAGGTCAACAAAGTATATGTGGTAACAGGAACGAGATTCGGCTCAGTAAGGCGGGATAATACCTGATTTGGTTTGCCATTTCCATAGTCATTCCCATTGCCATAGTCATTGCCATAGCTATTACCATTACCATAGTCATTGCCTTTGCTATAACCATAGTCATTGCCATTGCCATAGTAATTGTCATTATCATTGTCATTGCCATTGGCATTACCATTGCTATTACCATTACCATTGCCATTTCCGTTGACATTGATATTGCCATTGCCATTGCCATAGTCATTGTCATTGCCATTTGCATTACCATTGCTATTGCCATTACCATAACCATTGCCATTGATATTGCCATTGATAATGTCATTTATATTGCCATAGTCATTGCCATTGCCAATACCATAGTCATTTCCATTACCATTTCCATAGTAAATGTCATTGCCTTTGCCATTGCCATAGTAATTGCCATTATCATTGTCATTGCCATTGGCATTACCATTGCTATTACCATTACCATTTCCATTGACATTGATATTGCCATTGCCATTGCCATAGTCATTGCCATTTGCATTACCATTGCTATTACCATTACCATAACCATTGCCATTGATATTGCCATTGATATTACCATTGATATTGCCATTGATATTGTCATTGATATTCCCATTTCCATTCCCATTGCCATTGCCATAGACCTTGCCATTGCCATTGGCATTACCATAGCTATAACCATTACCATTGCCGTTGCCATTGATATTATCATAACCATTGCCATTGCCATTGCCATTGAAAATTCCATAGTCATTTCCATTGCCATTGCCATAGTAAATGTCATTGCCATTGCCATTAACATTGACATTGCCATTGCCATTTCCATTGCTATTCCCATTCCCATTGTCATTGCCATAGTCATTGCCATTGCCATTTATCGAGTTTTCATTTAATTGGATCGGTATGCTTGTTGTGTATGGATTTTGTGGTGCAATCTGATAGGTTTCATATTCTCGACTAGGTTCATACGCTGAGGTTATCAAACTGTAGTTAGAAGTAGGCGTGACAAACGAGTCAGCATATTTACCGCGTGTCTCATATTGTAGCGCTTCATATTGATCATTATAATTTGAGTATGGTCTGCCATTGTTGACATTTATCGGGTGCGGAGTTAATTGTAATGCTAGATTTTCCGAATACGAATTCCCCATTGGTGTCGTTACCATGATTCGAGGTAGAGTCATGCCATGCTCTTGACCCAAATAATCGAATTTATTTAAATCATTAACGATACCATGTTTCTTATTACTTATGATTTTTGAACTATCTTGGTTTTCTAGCAAATTGCTCTCTTTACCTTCATGAGAATACATTTCAAATAGATTTTTATTAATAATAGGTGGTGGAGATGTGACTGGGTTCCAATTTGTTTCACGGTGAGTCATTATAGGCGTAACAGTCACGTGGTTCTGCTTTGGCAAAAGTTCAGGTATTACTAATATTGTTTCATTACCCTGTGAACCTGATGTTATTATTTTACTGGTTTGCGTAACTGGAATCTCTTGTACATCAAATGAATTCTTTGTACTTAAATTAATTTTATCACCGTTAGTTGATGTTAAATGATGAGCCTTTTGGTATAACAATTTGTCTCCAATATCAGCTAAGGCTGGGTTGTGCAGGCTGGTGGCTAAAGCTTTAAGTAATTTGGAAGTATCTTTGGATATTTTTCCAGAGTGGACTTTTATTTCTTGTTGAAAGCCATTATATGCGTGTGTGCGTACCAGTTTCGATGGCCTTTTTTCGTGGCTCTTAAGTAAAATATCAACAATAGGTTCTACTGATAACTGTTTATCAAACTCTTTAAGTTGATTACGTTCCTTCTTTTCTTCTTCCGCTGTTATGAATCTTGTTTTGATTTCTGAAAAAGTTTTTTTTTTATATTCTGACCTGAAGGTGCTATGTTATTTTACATATCTGTTTACATCTTACTTTACCTGGGATGAAGTCAACATCGTGACACTCTCTATGACTGCATATAACACGATTATTTAAACACGTGCAAGTGTTACAGTCATTGGGTGGCGGCGGCGGTAGTATGGCTTCGCCATTCTCACATTGCTCATTTGGTTTCAAACGTCTTGCTCTACTTTCTGTGAAAAAATAGTGTTACGAATCTTACGTATTATTTATGGTCCTGAAACTGTTATCTAATTAAATGTATTTTCCTAGTTATCGTTTAATCTTTTTCCATGGTAACCAGGTACGTTAAGATCCCACAATTTCCCAATTGCCACCATAAAATGTTTGGAGACAAAAAACCAATAGGTTAATAAGTAAATATTATACGTAGATCGTGAATGCAACTGAGTAAGTAAAAAAATAGTTTAAGATGTCAAAAGTAAAAATATTGTATACAAAGATAGTCGTGTTCAATACGCAATACACACTCAAGATTTGGCTGAAAATTAGTGGGGAGGTAACTTAGAAATAGGAGACGGACATAAGATATTTTTTGTCCAACAATTTCCCGAAAATTCTACGTAAGTGGAAAAATCGGATAAAAAAATCAATAATATACCTGTTCCAAATGAATTCTTTGAAATTGTATCTGGACATTCACGGTTCGTACATAAAATGTGTCCTTCAATACATCTGCAGGAATTACATCTGTCTGGTTTAGGTATCTCTTGGCCTTCCACACATTTAGACCCTGGAAATAATAGCCACATCAGTGCAAGGAACAGTATCTTTGTAAATGTAGCATTAAATTACGATGCTTATTTCTTTTTTTTATGGCATAAGCCGGTAAACGAGCAGACGGATCACCTGATGGTAAGCAATCGACGTCGCCCATGGACACCTGGAACACCAAAGGCGTTAAAAGTGCGTTACCGGCCTTTTGGGGATTAGGAGTTTGAGGATCGTTGGGGATTCAGCGATTGAGGAGATTAGGGTAGGGGAGGGTAATTGGGCCTCCGGTAACCTTGCTTCACGTCGGTTTTCTGTGAGGCCGTGGTATCACTCCGGTCGAGCCGGCCCTTTCATGCCGAAGCATGGCTCTCCTACCCTTAAAGTTCATTAAATATAAAAACAAAATAATGGGGGCCTTCCACGGAACACAGAAAATTTGCTTTGTAAGACCTTCGATACTTATTGATGCTGACCTGTCAGTTCAATTATGTCCTTAGTTTGTATTCTGATAAATGAGCTCTGGGACCGCAAGCAACCTGTGACAGTCCTTTACTGGACTTTTTTATTGGGATAGGCCCGCCACGACCTCCCAAAACCGGAGCTACACTAGATGTATACCATTATGAAAATACCGGAACAGTGAAGTCCGGGGCGTCCCAGGGATAACAATAACTGTTTCGGATCCCGCAACAAAATAAATCAAAACACTATTAGAGGAGAAGAATCCTCGGCTGGACTTTGGACCCCCTCTACCTAAGATCCCTCACAATACCCACCGACTACCCTGCCGTCACCATATCGTTTTTCACTCTCTGGGGGAATGGCTTTTTTTTAAGGGGGGAAAGTGGAGTGGGGAGGCAGTGACAGATTCTTACTGATTAAAAACCACCCCGTTCCTTCTCCTGCACGTCGAGCCGTAGCCCCGGTAACCCGTTAGGTACTAAGTTTTATTTATATCCTTCAAGTATACATTTACTTTGAAGACCTATTCAATTGCTACGTCAGAAACATTAAAATAACCTTTACCTCGCATGCATATTATATCGGAGCATACCAGTCGACCCTCGAAGCAGTAACATTCATTGCAATCATCTGGTCTGTAAACTGGCTGGTTAACATCACATTCTGAACCTGTGACAATATGATACTTGTTAAAGAATACTTAATTTTTAGAATTTACTGTCTACTGTGACTCTTTCACACTACTTTAGATCCTATTATATTAATGTAGCTGGTCAAAAAAGCTTACTAAAACGCACTAAGAATGCTCCGCGCCTGGCCTTACCAGTAGGACTATAATAATGATGACTAATGAAATACAGACATGACATGACTTTCATGTCGTGTCAAGTCTGTATTTGATATATGTGTTACTGTAAAAGCTCGAACTGCAGTAAATCCTAAGATATTCCAGTAAAATCTAAGATCTACCAATTCCTAATGGTAAATGTCCAGAATGATTCGCGATTCGAACTTTTACCACCATTCCGTTGGTAAATCTTAGGATTTACTACCTACGCACCGCACGCACGCTACCCGCGCACGGTCTTTTTATAAGGGGGGGGAAATCATCTAATGACTGCACCCGCCTGGGTGAGGCGGGAGGGAGAGTCAGACTCTTACTGACTAAAAACCACCCCGTTCCTTCTCCTGCACGCTTCTTTCGTTCTTAGATCACTTCAAACGTGTCAAATTAGAAATTAGATTTCTAATTATATTTTTGATGTTTAAAAGTTATTTGTGAATAAAAATGAGTATGAAGCAAAGATTTTATGAAATAATGGACGAGCTTGTGGCAAACAAGAAATATAATAACTTTTTCTCGATAAGGACAAATACGCTAAGTGTTTAGTTTGTACTTGTTACTATCATTATGATATCTTTATAATACTATGTACCTGTTTTGGCTAATAGTTAAAAGTAATTAATTAAGAATTACTCATTGTTTTATTCCTAAAACCAACATCTACCAGCTGACAGTGGTAAAACCTACCATATACTGATAAGACAAGCTAAGTCGTTGGCTGCGTTTAAGGGCCAAGTTAAGAAGCACTACCTCTCTTCTCTATAATGTCATCACCAAACTGTTTCCTTTTAAGTGGTCCATAATAATGGTATATTTAAGTGTAAGTAGGTATGTAATCATGTATATATGTATGTTTGTGTGTATGTATGTGTATATTTACATCCCGCTATCGATTGGACGTCCCATGAAGGCGAAAGTGCATTTAATCTGGCGTCCACCTGCTTGTGGCGTCCGCATACCGGACGCCACTTTTTTGGCCTATGCTACTTAGGTCCTTTTGGTCCTGGCTGCACGTAGGTTAAAAATCGACAGAGGCCAAAAGATCGGTTCAATGGCTGTTATAGTATTTTGAAAAGTTCCCAAAGAAATCTCAGCGCAGATAGAGCGCTGCTGTAGCGCGTATATCCACAGCTGTATATTTTTGGGATTTTCTGATTATAAGTCCGCGTATTTGGCGTCCTCAAAAAAATAACAGCGACGTTGCCAGTTCGCTCATTAAATCCGTGGAAATAGTTCATAATATTATTTACGGCATTCAAAACAATATTCATCGTCGTACATTTCGGATGTGTTGCGTATTATTTGGAGTCCGATTTTATTATAATCATGTGATTGCAACTTACGACAACTTATCTGCAACCCTGTTCTCAATTTGTAAATGAGTACCTATCAGTGATATATTATAATAGATGAGGGTATAAATTAATTCCTTAAAGGGATCTTAGAAATAAGTACTAAAGTGACAAAATTATATGTCTTACCACAAAAAAGGTTAACCAGAGTTTAACTCGTATTAAATGTGTATTTAGATAGTATAGTCTCCGTATAAATTTTGACGTAATTTTATTAACTTTATCTATTTATGTGGTTAGAAGATGCATCTAACACTGAATAATTAATTAATGTTGTATTACTGATCAAATCAATCAACGTTTGTCTTCTTATTTCTAGCCTTGGCGTGTTATAAAGATCCGATTAGGAATTATAAATGTTTTTGATTACAAAACATAAACACTTCATTAAAAGTGATATCCATATTTAACATAACATAACATCACGCCTTTTTCCCCGAAGGAGTAAGCAGAGATGCACATTACGGCACTTAATGCCACTGTACAATGTAATATCCACAGTTTTACTATTTATGTTATGAGTCCCATGTAATAGAGGGTGAGTTTATTGCCATATACCGGGCACACTTCCAGACTCTTGAAAAACCCAGTAATACTTTGCCCAACCCGGGAATGGAACCCGAGACTCTTTGCCAGGCGATCGCACTTGCGACCACTCGGCCAACGAGGCACTAAAATGATATCCATATTCTTTGTTTTTATTTGCTTACTTAGAATTGGTAACTTCATATCAATAAGCTGCCAATTAAATATTTGATACAACTAATTGTATTCAGCTCTAAAGCTGGTTTCAAAGCTAGGGGATATGGGCAGCACGGCTGAAGCGCGGGCTTCAACAACAGAGGCATCAGGCAACAATCCAATAGAGGAGTTAATCGAGTGGCCACAACTAGAAGTATTAAATTAGGAATCTTGCCTTAAATGAAATTGAAATTCAATACAATATTTGCGCACAAAGATCAGATTAGGTGCGGTCTTCAGTTACTTAAGGTTTAGATTAAAATAAAAGTGTATCTCATAGATCATAATTTCTAGCGATAAAGTCCTCTACTGGGACCTCTACCTCTATGACAGTCGCGTCGCAATAAAACGATGCTAGAGCTCTCATCATCTCCAAGCGCGAGGCACTTCAGCAGCGCTGCCCAATCCTCTAGCTCTGAAACCAGCCTAAATGAAAGAAGTTTTGAACATATATACTTAATAAAACCATTCTAGTAATAAGATATATTCTTATTATCTTTTCTAATTACGGACGCCCAATAGCTATACGTGGACGTTCAATAGCTATATACGGACGCCCAATAGCTATATACAGACGTTCAATAGCTATATACGGACGTCCAATAGCTATATACGAACGTTCAACAGCAATATACTGACGATCAATAGCTAGGTGATCTAACATGATACCTTTTTTTGAGGGATAAAAAATCATCCAATGCCTTTTGCCGCCGGCCGCCGGCGGCCGCGCTGGTGAGGCAAGTGGAAGTTTCAGAGGAAGTTTCTCTTACTGACTTTTTTTTTAAGCGGGGAAAATCATCGATTGACTGCTCCCGCCTGGGTAAGGCGGGAAGGAGTGTCACTCTTACTGACTAAAAACCACCCCGTTCCTTCTCCTGCACGTCCAGCCGGAGCCCCGGTTACCCGTTAGGTTCTCCGCGACTCCGACTCGGCATCGGCCCTGTTGGGCCCCATCTGTGGTGGTTTTATGGCTCTTTGAGGAGCACGCGGAACGCGACGCGCCGCACGTTCAGGTCTGTTTCTGGTCGGACGGGGAGCCACCCATGCTCGCCGTCCGCAGGCCCGCGCTTACGGTGGCCGGAGATCTTCCCGCGATCCCCGACGCCCGGTGTGTCCTTTGCGATGGCTGGGTTGCGAGGAGGCAGCGCTTCGCTGCCTCATGCGTCCTGCCTCCTCCTTAGCTAGTTTGACTGCTTCGCAAAAGGAGGAGACAGCATCCCAGTCCCCCTCGCTCCGCATAATGGTCTGCACTAGGCCCGGACGCGAGAGGTCGCCATCGCCGATCACTTCCCTGAGGGTACGGCGGTGCTCAGCCCACGCAATGCATTCCGCTATAGTGTGTTCCACCGTGTCCTCAGGGCGGTCCTCACAGTGATGACACCCGGACGTTTCCTCCCGCCCCATCAGACACAGGTACCTTCCGACTCTTACTGACTTAAAACCACCCCGTTCCTATTCCTGCACTTCGAGTCGGAGCCCCGGTCACCCTTTAAGTCCTCTGTGGCTCCGTATGGGCATCAGCTCCACCCGTGGTGGTCTGATGGCTCCTTGGGGCGTATGCGGAACGCGACGCGCCGTACGTTCGGGTCTGGTTCTGATCGGGCGGCAAGTCATCCGTGCTCGCCGACCGCAGGCCCGTGCTTACGGTGGACGGAGACCGTTTCGCGATCCCCGACGCCTGGAGTGTCTCTCGTGACGGCTGGAGCGTGAGGAGGCTCGTTCCCTCACGAGCTCTGCCTCCTCCTTAGCTAGCAGGACTGCTTCGCAGAAGGAGGAGACGGCATCCCTGTCTCCCTCACTCTGTACCATGGTCTGAACCAGTGTCGGACGCGAGAGGTCGCTGTCGCCGATCACATTCCTGAGGACACGACGGTGTTCAGCCCACGCAGGGCACACTGCCACCGTATGCTCCACCGTGTCCCCCGGGTGGCTCTCACGATGATGACACCTGAGCGTTTCCTCCCGCCCAATCCGAAGCAGGAACCTACCGAAAATTCCGTGTCCGGTAAGCACCTGCGTCAGGCGGTAGATAAGGACGCCGTAGCGTCTCTGTCTCTCAAGCCACTCCTCAAATCTAACATGACACCTGCTGAGGAAGTACGTGGATGTTCAATAGCTATATACGGACGCCCAATAGCTATATATGGACGTTCAATAGCTATATACGGACGCCCAATAGCTATATACGGACGTTCGATAGCTAAGTGATACCTGCTGAGGAAGAAACTTTCTTCGCGCGCATGGCCATCGTCAGGCTCCGCAAGAGACCCCTGCCATTACCATGTCAATTGTCAGGATCCGCAATCAACGGACCTCCCATTTCCGTGTGTGAGCAGTATAGTGATATAGCTTTTTACTTGATGACCATAGCGTTTGGGTCAACTGAAATTTGCATGACCATTTTTGAATTCCTAACGTAGCCCAGTAGATGGTGCTAGTCCAGCAGTGGACTTAAATAGGCTGATGATGATTAATAACTATATACGGACGCCCAATAACTAGATGATCTTTCACAGTTATAGATGATCTTACATGATGACCGCTGGGGAAGAAACTTTCACTTATTTTACTCTTGCTTACTTTGAAATAAAAATTGAGTTCTGTGTTTCTTTCTTTAGATAAATTTGTAAAACCGGTACGCCGCGCCGATCACATGCGGGCTGAACCGATTTGTATTTATGTATGGAATAGACTAGGCAAACATTTAAAAAATATGTTATTCCTACTGCGGCATCTTCTCATGTAAAAATCTCATAGAAACCTCAATTTTTTGCATCTTGTTACCAATATTATACCAATATCGGGCATTAGTATATGTATTGATAGATTTTACGAATATTGTAATACTGTTAAAACTCTGTCCCAGACGAGTGACAAGAGAGAGGAAAAGAAAGAGACAAGTGAACCCAAAGCTGGCAACGTTGCACTCGCAAATACCATCCACGCTGTGAGGACGTTAATTAGCCGAAGCCATGGTTAAATCACGATCAATATATCTAGGAGCCCAATTAGTTATCACGATGGTTTGGGGTTCAAAAATGTTGCAGCATGACTGCAAGAAGAATATCGCGAAAAATAAAATTATCGGAAAATGACGTATCCTACAAAGCTGGAAATCGAATAACTAAGCAATATTCATCAAGACATATTAAAAATATTAAGGGGAACTGGGGGACGTCGTAATGATGCGCGACATGTGTGACGCCAAAATGATTCCAGGATGTAAATATATATGTATGCATGTATGTATGTATGTATGTGTATATGTATGCATGTTTATGTGTATGTATATGTACATGTATGTATATATTATTACTACGTTATTTATTTATTTTTTTCTTAGTACACAACCCGTATAAATATTTCTTTTCATTATATCCACCCAAAGGTTGTCTGGTAGAAATCACTATAAGTGATAAGACCGCCTTTGTGCCCATTATTATTTTTATTTATATTTGTCATTTCCTTTTCTGTATCTACTGTATTATTAATGGTGTACAATAAAGTTATATTCTATTCTATTCTATTCTATACTGAGTTCGAATGGTAAAAGCTCGAAAAAATCGTCGTATCTTCAGAAATACTTACATTTACCAACTCATGTCGGTAAATCCTAAGACTTACACTTAAATCTTAAGATTTACAGTAGTTCGAGCTTTTACAGTAACATATGAATGATATATCATGACATGACAAAACTTCTTTGAATGTTGTGGTGGCCCGGAGCTTTGAAACACACTTTAAACCAATGTGACCTTTTCCGAGTTACGTTTACGTCCTAAGATTTTTTAGACCACCACTGACAAACTGTGAAGGAAAACATCGTGAGGTCAAACCGCACTGAGCAAGCGTGGTGATTAATACTCAAACCTTCTACGAGTGAGAAGAAGCCCTCCTTACGACGCTGACAAGTTTATGGTATGTAACATTTGGATATGAGCTGGCTGGACCATAGGCTTTGTCTAAATAAGGTTTGCCAAAATCTCTACGCTTGGCAGGTGCTGAGTTCCAGGTTTAAAAGATTCTAGTTTATGAAAGAGCATCGCAACACGATCGAACCATTAGTTCCTAAGATCAGCGCGTTCAAACAAACAAATTAACTTTCAACTTTATACAAATATACATACATTAGTACCTCTAACAAAAACCTCCTCAACTTTAATTATTAGTTCTCTTCTCACACACTTTAGCTTTGTAAAAAAAGCCCTCGATTTGTTTTACCTGTTCTATCTCCGGTCGTGACATGTTTAACGCTGGCCGAGACTCGAAGGGGGACAGCTAATGCTTCCTTCCCACTGTCATCCACAATAGTTTCGTTTGTTGCGAACGTTTCTTGCACCACTAAAAACAAAAATTACTCGTATGTAACATAACATAACATGACGCCTTTTATCCCCGAAGGGGTAGGCAGAGGTGCACATTATGCCACTGTACTATGTAACACCCACTTTTCACTATTTATGTTATGAGTCCCATGTAATAGGGGGTGAGCCTATTGCCATAACCGGGCACAATTCCAGACTCCGTGCTACTACTGAGATTTTTTTTAAAAATCCAGTAATACTTTGCCCGACCTGGGAATCGAATCCGAGACCCCTTGCCCGGCAGTCGCACTTGCGACCACTCAGCCAACGGGGCAGTCGTATGTTTTTAGTTACTCGTATGTTTTAAACAGTTTTTCCAGAACTGAGTCGGAAAAATAGGTACTTGTAATACAGTACCTCAGACTCAATAAGTCGATAATGCAAAGCACATTGCTAATGGATAATCTTGGCCATCTGATTAAGCAAGTACCTATTCTCTATTAACGAAACGCCCTCTACCAGAAATACGCTATCAGATTGTTTCACAGGCACTATGACTATCCAACATAAGTATGTCAACAGTCCCATCTTTCATAATATGTTTGCAATAGTCATTTGTATGAATAATCTCATTCTCAATTGCACGAACGTTTAATTTTCCAAAGATATTACTGAATCGTAGCCAAAACATTGACGCCAAGAAATCTACACCGGGCCTCGAAGAAGCATCCGTGGAGCTCCTTGCTCTGCTATACCTCCTTGCGGTCATTGACGCTCAGTACCTACTACAGGTTTACGCCAGTTCTTTTTCGCCATGGATAGTGCAATAAATCGATTGTCCACTGCTGTTACTTCTCAATGAGTACCCTCGTTGACTTTCAGAAAATAATCCCTGAGGTTGCATACCTCACGGTTGTTAAGGGTCTTGGCATTTAACAAACCTCGACCTCCTCACATCCGCGGGATGTAAAACCTCATGACCGACGAACGAGGGTGATGCAAGATTGGTTTGCCGTCAGCAGTGTGCGGACTCGCCTATCCAGGGGCTCAAGTTTCGTTCTGAGTTCATTTGAGTATGCCAAAGAATACATTAGGATCGACATGGCCTAACTGCAAAAAGCTCGCATCTTGATTCCGCCTGATAAGGATTTTTTCAGTACCTTATTCAGGCGGCCAAAGAAGCGCTCCTGTAACGATTGCTACACGTCCGACCCATTAAAGCCTAATTCTTTTGACACTGTATGTATGTATTATTTGCGGAGACTGATCTCAATTTTGTATAATCTGAGAGGTGTAGACCATCAGATTCCACAATCCCTCCTCGCTTTACATGCATGGTCAACCGCACACTTATTTACTCCAAACTCCATTCTGATTCTGATGGAACTACTAAATTTATCAGTTATTTTAAGCAGTTCCATGATATGTTTCTTATTTGAAGCAACCGACTTGAAGTCATCCATATAAAGCAAATGGGATTATATCCCACTTGCTTTATGCTAACCTGACCCCTTTTCTACCTCTATAAAGGATATCCCAGACCCGAAGCCTCCAGTAAAGTACTGAGATGATTCAAGGTCAACCTGAACCATAGTGGGCTTAGATTTGTTCTCAAAATGGATGTAAGAAGTTCCGCAATATCTTAACAATATTGATTACACAAATTCTAAATTGTCGTAATTATTATTACAATTTTATTATTGCAATTATATTGTACATGTATGCAATCTAAAGTTAGTGATAAACATACGACACGAAAATAGTGACACCTTTTCGAGTAGTTAATTGCATTATTATTTTATTTTATTGTTAGTGATAGTCACACAAGTAGAACATAATCAATAACGAAATTGATTTGCTATAGGTCATTATTATTAATATATATTGTTATAAACTATTAATTATGAGTAAAATGTTTTATTTTTACGTATGTTACTAAGGTTTCAGACCTCGCCCTTTATGTTATCCCAACGATAACATGCTCTGTATGAACATTTATTTCGTCTAAACGTATCATTTGCTCAATAAACATCGTCAAAATTATACATATAGTTAGGAGTCCGGAGAAGGACATAGGCTAATTCGTAAAGGCCAAGTCGAGTATAAAATCGATAATATTAAATACGATATTTTCAAAATATAATAGTTATTTCTTACCGTTCTTTTCAATGGTACAGATATTTGTGGTACACATGATATGCCCCTTTAAACACATGCAAACATTGCACTTGTTTTGTGGGGGATACGATTTCTTTTCTATACACTGTGGCGCTGGAAAAAGTGAATAAATTAGGTATTATGCAAATTACAATACAATTACAATTACTGTCCCAAATTACATCTCGATCCCTTTTGCCGCTTCGATGTGACAAATAAACGTACAAACTTTCGTATTTATAATATTAGTAGGATGGTTAGGTACCTGGTATACAGATCAAGTCTGAACAAGCCACTTTATTGTTGTCACACATACATTTGTTGCATGCATCTGGATTCGGTAGAGTTTCACCATTTGTACATGCTGGTGCTGAAAAAAACACTTGTCTTAAGATTTGTAGAACAATAATTTTACGAGATACCTAGTTATCTCACGATAAGCATTTACGTTATTTGAATTAAGTGGCTAAGCATTTATGGTCATGCAAACTAAACGTATATACAGATCAGCTTCATCAGTTGAAGATAGGTACTTCAAAATAAAGTTGCAAGATTCCTTCACACACATACATAAGTTAAAAGAAAGCTTGTTATAAGTGGTACGTCGTTTTCTACTGCATCCATTCCATTTCATCCATCTATTCTCACATACTTCGTCATACATCTAGGTCCTTAGTCATACAAGCAAGCCGATTGAAAGTGCTCTGGACTGGAACCCCCCATTTTCCTACACATCTCCAATGAAGTACAGAACTATAATTAGTATAATATCATGTTTGTTACATTGCTTTTTTTTTTCGTAATCATCGTAATCATCATAGTCTTTGACGTAATTTTTATGGAATAGGTCGGTAAACGAGTAGACAGATCACCTGATGATGAGCAATCAATGCTGCCCATAGACAGCCAGCACCAAAGCCGTTGCCTATGGCGCTCACTCAAGTGGCAACACCAAACGCAATCGTGTATTCACGCCGGTTTTATGTCAGGCCACGTAACGTCATTCAATATCTCTCCCCCGTGAATAATATCATGTGTATCTCTTACCCGGACACGGCAAATTAGTGCAAAATATTTCTCCTTCATAACAAATGCAAGAGTTGCATTTATCTGGTGAGGGAACAGGCTGGCCTGGCACGCAATGAGACACTGAAAGGAGAGTTCATTCAATTAAAAAGACAAGTTTATTGCATAAGTTCTTCGTAAAATTAAATGAAACTAATATGCAAAGGAAAGCAAATAATACATAACTAATATTACTATTTTTACTAATATTTAATATTAGGTACTAATATTACACAACTGTCATAGATTGACCAATTATGGCAATTTATTTTAGGTTTAGATAAATACCCCTATCTCATTATAGTTCAGATATCTTCTGCTATAAGATACCTAACTTTAGCTATAAAACGATAGACGACATGTCATTAAATCAGTGGCGTAACTACAGGGTGATAAGTCAGCAAAATACCACGGGCCCCCATCCGGAGAGGACCCCCCGTACAGAGGGTTTTATCCAAAATTCTTTGTTTTTATTGGGATCGGGGGTCCATCCGATATATTTGCCAAGAGCACCAAAGGGTATAGTTACGCCACTGCATTAAATCACTACATAGTATAAAACAAAGTCTCTATCCGCCGTCTGTCTGTCCCTATGTATGCTTAGATCTTTAAAACTACGCGACGGATTTTGATGCGGTTTTTTTCAATAGATAGAGTGATTCTTAAGGAAGGTTTATATGTATAACACATGCATATTGCACCCGTGCGAAGCCGGGGCGGGTCGCTAGTATTAAAAATAAATAACTTAGTACTTACTTTTAGGGTTCGATAATTGTGCTTTAATCACGGATGTGCATAGTACCTGATAAAATATGATATTAGTTAGTTTTCGTAGATGTCTAAATATAATGTAAGTGTTGTTCCACGCCGGTTCTCTGTGAGGCCGGCCTTGTATCACTCCGGTCGTGCCGAAGCATGGCTCGCCCACACTTAAGCCTTTTATACATCTACAAATCAAAATGTCTAATCTTTTCATGAGGTGTAAATCGTATACAGTTTAATTTTTTGAGTCGCATGGAATATATTCAAGTTTGATTAATAACATTAATTGACCCTCTATGTAATTGAACTAAACTGAGTTTGATTAAAATGTATACAACTAGATATTTCGATTTCGTAATTCTCCGTTACTTATACACAACTCATTAAAAGAGGTTAACGCAATTAAGTACAAACATCTCACATACAAACAATTCCTTCATAAAGATAAACTTCCAAAACTTCATGAAAAGAAATACGTACGTACTAAACGCAAATACTGAAAACGAAATTACATACATAATACATAACTTCACGCCTTTCATCCCCGAAGGGGTAGGCAGAGGTGCACATTATGACACTTACTGCCACTGTACCATGTAACACCCACTTTTCACTATTTTATGCTATGAGACCCATGTAATAGGGGGTGAGCCTATTGCCATATACCGGACACAATTCCAGACTCCGTGTTACCACTGAGAATTTTTTAAAAACCCATTAATTATTTGCCCGTCCCGGGAATCGAACCCGAGACCCCTTGCCCGGCAGTCGCATTAGCGACCACTCGGCCAACGAGGCTGTCAAACTCTCAAACAATGAGTTTTTACAGCCTCTTAGTTTCTTCTTTGTCTTTTCATCGATTTAAATTACATACACAAGATAATCAAGTTTACACAATTAATACTGAAACGTTACTCAATTTTAAGTCGTACTTAAATATCGTGTCATCTCTGTCATTTTACAAAGAATTTGTAGAGACAGAACTATACTTAAGCGCGACTTAAAATTGAGTAACGTGTCAGTATTTGGGCATAATATGATGATAATGTTCTTACCCAAATTACAATATAAAACTGGAAAGTCAGCCAGTCCATTCTGAAGAAACAATAAAACATAGTTTATGGCGACACATGCGTTGAAAATACAGAAATGTTTTATACAGTGACACAAATCGCTAATGAGTATTCCCAACAATCATTATAAACAAATTACAAGTACATTGTAGACTTTTATTATAGTTTCTCTATCAAATTATTGATAATCAACTTTATGTTCGAGTGGTAAGGTTGGATATTGTGTTGGTTGACGGTGTTATGTATATTTGTTAGAGTTTCGATGATTGTTGTTGAACATAAATTAATTTTCTTCTAAATGTTTGCGGGTAGATAAACTAGTAGCGGCGTTGTTTAGTTAATGGGAGTTCCTTCTCTTATTGCATGTGCTTCTCTCGTCTGTTGCACTTTCACAGAAGTTTCTATACACACTAAATGTCCATGTAACTGTACCCAAATAATAAAATAAATTCTATTTCTAACAGGAACGATGACAATGATGCAGTACAAAGTTGCTTGTAGAACACATTGTTTACTTAGTAATATTTGTAGTAATAGGTAAGTATGTAATAGGATATATACCTAACAGTTAAAGTGTGGGAGAGCCATGCTTTAGCACGAATGTGCCGGCTCGACCGGAGTGATACCACCGCCTCACAGAAGCCGATGAGAAGCAACGCTTGCGTTGTGTTTCGTCGTGTGAGTGAGATAACCGGAGGCCAAATTACCCTCCCCTTCCTGAATCCCCAACGATCCTCAAACTCCTAATTCCCAAAAGGCCGGTAACGCACTTGTAACGCCTCTAGTGTTCCAGGTGTCCATGGGCGACGCTGATGGCTTACCATCAGTTGATCTGTCTGCTCGTTTACCGGCTTATGCCACAAAAACTTAAAAAAAGAAAAAGTTAGTTAATATCTTTACTTTTTTCGAAATATCGAAAACGATAGTGTTCTATGGTTAATGAGAGTTGTGACGTAATGATTTTTGAGTCAAATACCAGACTAGTTCTCTTATAAAATTACAAAGGTAAAAATTTAAACGCTTTACGAGAGTGTCATTTACTTCTAATAAGCTGCACTAATAGGATTATCACAATAATTATTCTTTCATTAATAAACAACTGAGACTGAGACGAAACTGCTGATGACTCTGTCATGAAATATTCTCCTTGATAGATACATTCAAATTAATCGTTGTACAGTTTCGAGCGACATAATCTAGACTTCTAGACGTCTAGTTAGGAGCACTAGCAACTAACTTAGTTCTCCCACTTGGCCAACTCTTGAAAACGTCTAATTGCCGCTAAACTTTAGAGACATCGAGTTATTTGGGAAATTAGTTCCGACTCGTCACTCAAATTGGAAACTTATTGCTTGTTACATTGAGTTTACAATGATATAACAATAGCGTATTTTATAAGCGTTGTTAAGGACATCAAACGTGCATTGAACTTTAGACCCTTTTAATATCTTAAGAAAGAACATTTTACAGTAACTAATAAATAAATGTTTACATACTCAATCACGCTGCCATTTCGAGAAAACGACCGCACACAAATAACCACTAAGAACACAATCCATCCTAATACATACTAAGTTTGTTAATACGAAAGCTACTATGTGTCTGTATGTTTGTTTGTTTTCATAATATAACATAACATGAGATGTAACATCACGCCTTTTATCAGTTTTATCCCCGAAGGAGTAGGCAAATGTGTACATTATGGCACTTAATGACACTGTACAATGTAACACCCACTTTTTGCCAATTATTAATAGTTACTGATAATGTCCGTTACAACTTATATAGTATAAATACGTAATACATAGTACAAGTGTGGGAGAGCCATGCTTCGGCACGAATGGGCCGGCTCGACCAGAGTGATACCACGACCTCACAGAAAACAAACGTCAAACAACACTTGCGTTGTATTTCGTCGTGTGAGTGAGTTTAGAGGAGGCACAATTAACCCCCCTCCCCAATCCCCAACAATGCTCCAATTCCTGTTAGTGAATAGGAACACAACTAAAATATATTTTTAGTCTATGACGCCACTATTGTTCACTCTCATTGTCTCAGTCTTTGTAAACCTCATGTTACCGTGTTTTCTAAATAAAACTTCTTTTTAAACTTAAATACGCTTTGATTATTTACCACAACCACGATTCATATTCCTTTAATTCCTAATCCCAAAAGGCTGGTACCTCACTTGTAGCACCTCTGCTGTTCCGGGTGTCCATGGGCGACGCCTATCAGCTTATTCCAAAGAAATATATTTCACGATTAAGGAATTCGATATGAAACCCTTTGTTGATTCGTCCCGCTCTTTGGTATGGCGGGCGACTCTTACTGACTAAGATACACCCTGTTCCAATTTCGGCTCCATGCTGCCTGAAACCTTGGAATCTGAAACCCTTTGCTGTACAACCAAGCCTATAACAACTCAATGATCAAGCCAGTTCATCGAAAAACGAATGGATGCTAACAATAAGCACTTCTCACATGACGTCATACTTTACAATAACATTCGCTTGTTCAAACATTCGCTAATCATCGTCTATTGTACTGTGGCTTAATCTGAGCAAATACTCATTATTACGTACATAGTAGTACATATAGGCATATGTGAAATTATACCTTGTTTACTAGTAGCACCTGATTACATCGAAATGGTATAATGGATTACATTTCATGAGTTAGTGTCGGAAAGTCAGTGTATTCTTACCACGACGCTATAGTGATGTTAAATCATAGTGTTGATCGAAAATCTCTACAGAATTTTAGACAGAATCTTTCTAAGCTTCAAACTAATAAATATAGACAAATAAAATAAATATAGACAAATAAATCCACAAGAGAATCTTGCAATATTGTGGTCGAATAATAATAGGGATGCCGTCTCCTCCTTTTGCGAAGCAGTCATGCTAGCTAAGGAGGAGGCGGGACGCGTGAGGCAGCGAAGCGCAACCCAGCCATCGTGAAGAACTCTCCGGGCGTCGGGGATCGTGGGACGATCTCCGTTCACCGTAAGCGCTGGCCTGCGGACGGCGAGCATGGGTGGCTCGCCGCCCGACCAGAACCAGACACGAGCGTATAGCGCGTCGCGTTCCTCGCGCGCCTCAAAGAGCCCTCAGACCACCACGGATGGGGCCCAATAGGGCTGATGCCGATACGAAGCCGCAGAGAACTTAACGGGTTGCCGGGGCTGCGGCTCGAAGGGCAGGAGTAGGAACGGGGTGGTTTTTAGTCAGTAAGAGTCGGACAGACCATTCGTGCCGAAGCATAGCTCTTCTACACATAAAAACAGTATTACTCATTACCCGCTATTACATACACTAATGCGTGTACTTGGTTTTAGAAATATCTCAAGAAAAACAAACAAGACAGAGGAATTATTTAAGCACTGAATCCATACCTTGCTGAAAAAGATTTTTTTATTTAAAATTATTAAAATGAATCCCTCCGTAGTTTGCTGAAACATAAAATTCTTCAACAAAGAGGCGCAGTAACAACTGTTTCAGTTTGGCCATGAAAACAGCGAGAAGTCAATAATCACCATCAGTCAGTTAGCAAAGAGTAAGTAAGGTAATTCATTAATGGTAAGGTTAATAACAGGAAACAGTCAGACTTTTAACCATCCATGCCATCATGCGTAAGAAAGCGGCCTCCTTGCTGCAACGACTGCATGATACTGACAACAGCATTCTTAAAATGATTGCTGCCAGACCAGACTGTCCCCTGCAGAGACACTGGGTGGCGAGAATCATACCAAAAAACCAGAACAAATAATCTAACAATATTAACATTAAGGAATATTGTTACTAACCCACAATTACTAATAAAACTGTGGATAAAAAAAATAGTCTGAAATAAAATATTTATTTATTATTAACAACACAACATTATTATTTATTATTAACACGACTGCCTCGTTGGCCGAGTGGTCGCAAGTGCGACTGCCGGGTTCGATTCCCGGGTCGGGCAAAGTATCACTGGATTTTTTTTAAAAATCTCAGTAATAGCACGGAGTCTCGAAATGTGCGCGGTATATGGCCGTCGGTTTTCTGTGAGGCCGTGGTGGTATCACTCCGGTCGAGTCCGTAGTACCTATAGATTTTGTGAATAAATACTACCTTATTATCTTATTCTAATAATTTCTTTGGTCAAGTGGTAGTAAATGGGACTATGAAGCAGGGGGTTCTGAGTTTGGTCCTGGTATTAAGTATTGTTTAGACTGAATAATAGCATGGAGTCGACAAATGCGTCTGAAGCAATAGGTTCACCCCCTATTACATGGGACTCATAACATAAATAGTGAAATGTGGGCGTTACTTCTGTGTGCACCTCTGCCTACCCCTTCGGGGATAAAAGGCGTGATGTTATGTTATGTAACAACACAACCACCGAGGTAGTGCAAATCTACAAATACAGACTTTACGCTAAATTCACGTCGATATCAGAACAACTCTTCAACAGCTCGTGGGAGTACACACCAGAAGACCAGAACTATCCTCTAGAAAAAAGGGGGTTTGTAAATAACCTCAATACTAGATGACTGAATTGAAGACCACAGTTCAAAACAGTGAGATTCAACACAAAATCAGTCTATGTTAAATATGTAATCCCTTACGTCCAGTTTCTGTAACCTATCTATCTGTAGATTTGCTTACTAGAGATAGAATTTTGACATGAGCTCCATACAAAATGTGTCAAAATTGTATCTCTAGTAAGCAAATCTACAGACAGATAGGTTATAGAAACTGGACGTTAGTCAACTGTGACGACACCTAGTGGAAGCGTAGCCGTGGTGATAAATGTATTCTATTCCACCGTCACCGCATTGCATGACAGCTATTGTAATTACATTCATACACATATAACTTCACGCCTGTCTCCCATGGGAGGAAGTTCCTACATACCTCTTTCGCTTCGTCAACAGTCATCAATCTTTTCATGCTCGTCGGTTAAGGGTACTTTTAATTTGACTCTTCTTTAATATATTGCCAATCTGGTCCGTATATGGGCGTCTAGGGCGCCCTCTACCGACGGCCCCATTCATATCAGCTCTATAGTATCAATCATTTACAAAGGCTTTTAAGAAAATCATCAAATACAATAATATTCAAGAGT